CTTGCCTGTTCCTCTTAAGTAAGGCTGGTGGCTTTGTGATTTCCTTTTAGTTCACAATGAGTTTCATATTTAAAGCAGTATTTCCCCTTCTCTCCCATTAAAAAAAAAAAACGATTAAAAGTAAAATGTGATTGGCATACCTGTCTTAACTCTTGGACTTCATCCTTTAATGCGTACACCGTGTCCACAAGGCTCCTGCAACAGGACAAAGAGTAAGCGCAGGAAAGGCGGCGTGTGCTAAGGATGCAGGCGGCAGGGCCTCAGGGCTGCCTGGGTCAGCAGAGAACTCCGCCTACTCAGTCTCCTTGTCTAAAGTCCCAACCAGAAGGGCCTGCCTGGGAATCTCAGACTAACCTCCAGCCCAGGTCATCACCCATCAGTGAGGCTGCACCCAGTCTCCAGCGAAGGTCAGACTGCACCAACCGGAGGGGGGGAGAGAGGGGAGCCAGCCGTACAGAAAGGAAAGCACCTTACTTTTCCTCTATCACGGTCTGCCCGTTGCTTTTGGTTTCTTCAACTATAATTTTTTCTTCTTCTGGAAGCAACACTTGAGGAGCCGACTCTTTCCGTGAACCTGGTCATTGGAAAGAAAGGTCCCTCGTGAGTGGCGCGGGAGGACCAAGCAAGGGTACCTACTATACTACATGTCACTTATGCCCAAGATGTCATTAAAAAGAAAGGTCCCACTGAGCGCCTGCTTTACTACCGTCACTTACACACCCAAGGCTAGTAACTACACAGTAAAATCTTGGACCGGTTTTCTCCAGCTGTCTGCTGGATGGTCAACTAAAGCATTTCAGAGGAAAGGAAGCAGCAACAGAAAAAAACATATAAAAATCTCTAACAGCAGGTACATCAGAGGTCTGACCACATTGCATTCAATACACAACCAAATTTAAACCTTTGCCTCATTCCACCAGACCAGGAAAAAACGTGTAATTCTTGTGCGTGTAAATGAAAAACTCTAGAAATTACCTCTGGAGAGGTCGCTCAGTGTTAAGGGCTAAAAATTAACAGCTGAAACATCAAGAGAAACGTCTATACAATCATAACATTATAACATGTAGTTCAGAAAAGGTACAATTTATTATCTCAGCACTGTGAAAAATATCTGGCCCCCTTGGACACACACAACTTTGAAGGTGAAGGAAGCCAACTTCCCACAGCATCAGAGGCACGTGGTCCTGGCCCAGGTGCTGCCTGGCGACCACCTCATGTAACACGCACTGTGCAACACAGACGCCGGCCTTCAAAGGGAGGTGCCAGGGTTACACAATGTGATTACAAGCATTTGCTTATGCACACCACCTCCGGATGCTAACTGGAGGAAGGATGGGTTCTGCCATGCAGCAGGTATACCTGCTCACGGCCGTGCTTCTCGGAACGCTCTGCTGAGGGAAGCACAGGGCGTGAGGTAAGGTGACTGACTGTGTTAATTTGCTTTTGTGTTTCCGGGGTGCCCTCTCTATGTCTTCCTGAAAGCACATCAGATTTTAAGGAGCACGTCTTGTGCACCCTGGTTGGCATGGAAACCTTAGAACAGTTTGAGAGACGGCACTGTGAAGAGCAGCTCTGCAGGCAACCTAACGCAGGCCTATGCTTCTCTGAACAAACAGAGGGGAGCCACTGCTGTCTACGCTGACAGCAAGGACTTAGGAACTGTCCCTGGCAAGCGCTAGCCTTCCACCAGGGAACGATGGGGTCCTGGAAGACTGTGGCCTCAGGTCCATCCCCCCAGACCATCTCTGCGGATCAAGCCCAGGATGGCAAGGGCTGGAAACACTATGGGGAGCTCAGGAGTGGCAACCCAGCCAGGTCCACGCCACACAGCGGTTCTGCCAGTGAAAGAAGTGGCGGGCGTATGGTGATGTTGCCCAGCCTCAACCCCCACTCCCATGGGAGTAGGTGGAAGGTTGTCATTGTCCTGGTTTGCTGAGTACATGCACATGTCTCTTTGTGAAAGACTGTCCACAGATGGCCATCCCACTCTTGAAAGGGGTTCATTGACAGGCCCTGGAGAGGCCACAACATCTACCTTTCCCTCAGTGCCCCAAGTCCTGGAGCTGCAGGGCTTTGAGATGCAGAAAAACATGTTTTTAAAAACCACTGGCAGCCGGGCGGTGGTGGCGTACGCCTTTAATCCCAGCACTCGGGAGGCAGAGGCAGGCGGATCTCTGTGAGTTCGAGGCCAGGCTGGACCAACAGCCTCCAAAACAATACAGAGAAACCCTGTCTCGTAAAACAAAACAAAACAAAAAAAACCGCTAGCAGGCTGGCAATGTCAGCCCCACCTTACCCCACCCCACCCCACGCAGGGTCCAACTGACAGGCAGATGTCCCTTCCGGACAGCCTCTTTGATATGGCAGAAGCCCACTCAGGCTCCTTTCCTGTTGAGCATAGACACATGGTCACTCGGGGAAACCTGAGAGAAAGTGCCAGGTGTGTGTTCCCCTGTACCTCTCACACGAGGGCAGGTGTCTACTGTCTTTAGAAGTGAGTACATGCTCACTGTGCCCAGAAAAGTGAGGGTTTCAGTAATTCCGGTGTGTGAGCAGCTGGACCCACGCTCCTTGGTGAAGAGAGGCAGCCAGAACAGCACTTGGGTTAGCTTCGCAGGTATCCGCCGGTATCCAGCTTGGGCTGATAGCTGGTGACCGAGTTAGCGCCAAAATAAGAAGTCTTGGTGACTACTCTGTCACACTAATCTCAGCAGAGGCTTGAGAAGGACCAGCAGGTGAGAACTGAGGCCTAAGACGGCACCAAGCAGCAGTCAACACACCTGCTTTCAGTTCTTTAATCTTCTTCCGGGACAACCTAATACTTCCAGGGAGTTGACCCAGTTAATTAATCATGGAGTCTCTGCTGACTACTTGGAGTTCAAAGGGGCAGCCTTCTCTACAGAGCCATTCTTAGAGACATTCTGAAAGTCAGCTCTTACCAACGAAGTCATTAAGTAACACAATGGATTTGAGGAACTAAAACTCTATGGCCCCAGTTGTCAGTTGAAAACACACAACAGAGTCTTAGATGTACAACCGTTGTGTGTACAAGGCACTCAAGAATTAGAAATCCGAGTATGGGACCATGTTCCTGACAGGAGGTCCCATTGTTCCAGCCCTGACACGGGCAAGGGAACAGTCACTGTAGGCCCTGTCAGCAAGTCATGGGCCTGCAATTTGGGGACTATTTAACTGTGCCAACAGACACCTGCAAGCTCACCACCTGCCACCTTCCAACAGAACATGTATTTCTAAAACGACTCTTTAAAAACACATAGTCTTACAACAAAACAGGGAAGGATAACATGGCCAGGTTTGTAAGTTAGTGGACTATTTTTAAAAACGTTAAGTTTTCTAAAACACATTATATCTAGAATATTCTTACTGGCATCACAGCACACTTTTCTTGAACACCTAAATGGAATACTCTTAGTAGTGTCACAGTGCACTTCTTTTGAACACCTAACTCTGCGCACTGGTCTTTGGGGGATGGAATCAGGATCTGCTGCTGCTGTTTCCTGAAAGGCTGCGCGCCCAAGTTCACAGTGCACTTCTTTTGAACACCTAACTCTGCGCACTGGTCTTGGGGAGATGGAATCAGGATCTGCTGCTGCTGTTTCCTGAAAGGCTGCGCGCCCAAGTTCACAGTGCACTTCTAGCACACTGAGGGCTTGGGGAAATGCAAGCTCTATCGACCCACTTGGACTCCTCGCCTAAGCAGTGGACCTCTGTGGTTTCATGGCTAACAGTGTGAGAAGCGCCAGTGGCCCACAGACCCTACAAAACTGCCACTCTGCCCTCACCATTAGGGTTCCCATGTGCAAGTATAGTTAAAAACATACAGATAACAGAAGAGTTAGCAATCAGCCCCAACCTAGCAGTTCTCAGGCTGGGCTCTCCAGGGACAAACTTTCAGGTGTGTCTTACCAACCTAAGGTCCTGAGTGACGATTTCACAAGGTCACTCTTTGAGGACACTGGAATGTTGGGGGTGCCAGCAGGCTCTAGGTCCTACGGCAATAACCACTCACAGATGTGATTCAAGACTGGGACACGTTCACAGCAACAGAAACACAAGAGTCAAACACTAGTCTCGAAATCCTGCCCTGCATCATCAAAGACCACCAGGCTGTGGGCCTTGGTGGACACACACACAGATCTAACCAAGGGATCTGATTCAGAGGAGACTGTGCCTAAGGTGCCGTAGCTGAGGATGACCCCAGGGCACTCCCTCCAGGAACCATGGGGTGACACACAGCTGGGCGATTCAGCAATAACCATGTCGGCTGTCCAACTCATGCCCTGTGAGAGGTATGGTAAGTATGTGGGTACACACGTGTGTTAGCCTGCACCAAAAACAATGGCTCTCTGTCTCGATGAAGCATCTACTATTTGGGCAGAGGCTGACTTGTAACACGTTCCTCCATCATTTACACACAGTTGAAACAAATCATAACACTTAAGAGATCTCTTCAGTAGCATCCAAATCACAGAGGCTGCATTCTCTATGGGTCTGAGACTTGAAGTAGCTTTTTCCATACGAGGGAAAGGAAGGGCCGTCACCAGGAATGGCTTCTTTCTCTTCTGAACTAGGCATGCACTTCGCAAAACAAAAGACAAATGCCAGCCCTGGTCCAAATGAAGGGCGTCAAAGCTGAGCTGCTTTTCTCCTGTGAGAAGGGAGCACTGCTTCTAAGGACAAGCCCTGAAAGGACAGGGAGACAGGAAGGAAACAGCTGGGCCGGGAGGCATGCGCCCTGGACCATCCCTTCTAGGGAAGAAGCGGGCAGTGCCGAGAGTCCAGGCCAGCCAGGGCTACGCAGAAGGACCCTGCCTAGTACTATTTCAGACCACATCCCACCTCAGAAAGCGCCAGACCTCTATCACAGCAGACAGAAGGCATGCCTGTGGAAGAGGCCGGTTTGACAGAATGACCACGGCATACTCAGCTTCAACTAGGCTAGTCCCCTCCCCCATGTAACAAATGTAAAAGCCATGGGCTAGCAAATGCAAAATTTATTTCAACTGTACATAACAGATATCTTTTAAATATAAAACAGACACTTCATTGCCATGTGCAACCACAGACAGTAAGCATACTGTACAATACAATGCAACATTCAGATATACATCCAAGTGAATTTTCAAATGGGAGTCTTGTACTAAAATGGCTTTTCCCATTCACAGATAAACAGCACAATATATAGATTTCCCCAAGATCTTTTACCACTATATACACATTATTGTGTTTTGGCAATTTTATGCCGAACACCACAGAGTTAACGTAGCTTAGTAAAGACTTGTGGCGAGGACGGGTTAGACAGGAGCACTGTGGGGCCACCTGCAGAGGCCCCGGGCACGTCTTGGACCTACCTTCTCGCTCAGTCTGCCTTCTTCCGTTATCACACTCACTGCACACGGCTTTACAGAGCTGCAGAACCGTTAGGTACTATCAGCATGACTACAGCTCCACAAACGTAGAAACGATGGCCCCTCCAACGCCGTGTCCCCTCTGCCACATGAGGACCAGCTCCTGTGCCGGTGGCACTAACAAACTTCTAACCAGGTCACAAAACCAATGTCAGACATTCAAAACAAATACAAAGAAAAGTTCGGGCTGTTGTTCCGCAGCATTGACCTCAACAAAAAACACCATCCAAACGGCTCAGACTGGTAGGAAAGGACCAAGGGCAAACCATCGGAACTTTGCTTAACAATATAGACCGCCATGTCTGCTTAAGACAGCCAGCCTCACTTCTCTTGGTGTTAGGAGAAGACCTCAAGTACAGCTGTGCCTCCCTGTCGTACCACACAGCCTATGCCAGGAAACCCATGCTAAGGTAAGGCAAGGGCGAGCAGCCTGACGCAGAGTCAGCAAAGACAACACAGAATGGGCTATGACAGCCAGCAGAGCCGTTTCTGTCACCGTATGAAATCAAATAAACACAGACACTTCAGGTTTTATTTGTTTTTCAAAAATCCCGTTTGCTATTTGGTGGAAACTACAAAATCTCATTTCTACTGGAAATTAATACTGGGTGCAAGTTTTAAAAGCTTGTTCCTTGACTTTCTTATAATCCAAACTCTTTGGGGGGCATAAGCAGCTCTGTAGCCACAAGGAACAGGCAGGCAGGTGTGGGTAGCTATGCTGCCCAGCAGCTCCAGGCCATTCCCCCATCATGCACACACTCCTCCATTAGCAGCAGCAGGATCCGGCTCCCAGGACGGGAGCAAAGGGACACAATACTGTATACAAGGGCTTGGCAAGGAGGGTTATGGCCACTAGAGCTCCACATCCTGAAGGATGCAAAGACCATCACTCTTCATTTACTGTGGCACCGCTTCTGTAGACAGTGCTGCCCCTCAAGCAACAGCTAGGTGTGGTCTGCTGCTGCAGCTGAGTGCAACACCACACTCAGTTGTTGATCAGGGCCAGGGAAAATGCCACACAACACACCCCAGGGGCTGAGGGGCTGTTCCCAGACTTGCATGTGGGAACCTGCTCAGTCTTCAAGACTGCATTACAAGGAAGTACCAGAGGGAACTACAGGGCTGCTGGAAACGTAGTTTCACTGCAGCTGGTAGCCAAAGCAACATGGTGCTCACGGCTCTCACAGACAGCGCAAGTAAGGATGCGGGGCAGCCGGGCTGCAGCCAAGCCAAGCAGTCAGCCAAGCACTTCTCTGAACACAGCTGGGCTGTGCCGGCAGAGACCACAGCATCCACCTCCGAGTGCAGACTGGACAGTGCCTCGTCCTAGCACTCACTGCAGTTCAAGGAAGTGTGGTGCAATGGTTAAGTGGATGTTGAACGCGGCTGCGATGGTGAGCTCACCTTCACAAGGAGAGCTTCCCCCTCACAGCCATGGCGCACAGACGAAAAGGCACAGGGCAATGGGTGGAGACAGACTGCAGACTCTGCTCTCAACACCCAATGGCGCCAGCCCTGGTGTGCATCTGCCAGGCCCGGAGTCCATGGAGCCTTCTGCACCATCACCAAAGCAGCTGCCAGCTGGCCTGGTGCTTCGGGTACAGACACTTCACTCAATCTCTCCACAGCTACTTGGTCAAGTGCATTATACGTTAAAAAAAAATTAGATCCCTATGTGTAAGGCTAGAGTCTCCTCCGTTGTGGCACTTGGACGCAAACCTGTGTGGTTGCATAAACTAGAAAAGTGTCCATATAGCTGTATCCAAAAGGAAGTGAAACAGTTGCTACACGGAGAATTAAAAACCAAACCATCCGGGGCTTGTATAGAACACTCCCTGATGGGAAAAGCCCCTGGGGTACAGACTTGCTGGACCCACACCTCCCACCAACAGGCAGCAGTCTGAATGCGTTCTGATTGGCAATTGAGCCTCCACTAGGTACAATGGGAAATATCAAGACACTCTCCAGAGTTGTTAAAATATCACATGAGAGAGACACGGAACAGCAAGAAACGTCTAAGAAAAGCAGGCTGCGATACAAGCATTGTTAAGAAAGGCTCAGTGCGTTAGTTAGTTCTGGTGAGAGATATATGAGCAGCAGCTCTTACGGGATGCAGAACCCATTCTGTAACTATGGGCTGTCCATATACTGTCATACTCAGAGTCTTCCGAGAGGTCTGAGGGCTCCAAACGAGAAAGGCTACTGCGACGACCCAAGGAGTCTAGACTTGATTGGTCGTCATCAGCCAAGACGTGATTATGCATCAGGTCAGTGCCTTGCCATGCTAAGACGGATGAAGTGACAGGTGCGACAGGCAGAGGGGATGAGGAGGGACGGACAGGAAGAGCCACAACCAAAACATGGAACAAAAGCAAAAGGTGATGGGAAGAGAAGGGAAAGAGAAAATATTGTTAAAAAATGGCAACAAGTTTGTTTCTCCTTATTAACTGCTGGGCATTTATAATGAACTTAGCACCCTCAGAACAAACCCAACCCATCACTTCAATAAGTCCCCATCATAGTCCTGATTCAAAGGCTTCACTTAAGATACCTTTATATCTTGGCTACACAACTACACCGTACATTTACGTCTAAAACATGATTCTGTAACACTTGGCAATTAACCAATTCTACCAACAATCTTATTAAGAACATGGTTTATAAAAAGGTACTAGCTGTGTGACTAAGCATTGTTCCCTATTCTGAAAATGATATGCTAAATACAGAATGCTTTCACAGATTTTTGCGTCACTTCCTCAGTTATCCCCTTGCCGAGACAACAAACATCAGCAGCAGGAGCCTAAACTTACCGTGTCAGTCTACCACCTAGCCCAGCACCAAAGTGTGAGTGAGGAGAAAGGGACAGCGTGGGTTCCTGTCACCACCCTGCCGTGGCTCTTCACCACAGAAGGCAAATACAGACTGGCAATGCCACCACGTGGAAAGGGAGGTGACAAGAGGCAGTGGAAGGGAATGGGGCAGAACTCCATGCATGGTTAGCAAGGTGAGCAGGAGCTGGTCAGCAGCTAGGAGGGCATGCAAGGCCGCACAGGGCTCCCACAGGGAGAGTGCACAGGTAAGCCTCAGCAGCCAAAACAGGCTGTGGCCCATGCCTTCTTCCAGACAGAAAACAATGCCAACTGCGTGTGGTTCCAACATCCTCTTGGCATCCAAACATACTAAGCAGAACGGAGCTTCAGATCATAACAGATTAGCCTTCTCAAAATGTTTTGCCAGGCATTTAATGTGGAAGTGTGTTCACTATGAACTCATTTCCAAATGCCCTCATCAGCCACGTCACCTGTCCAGCACTAACTCTGCGCCTATCCTGTGTCTCAGCATGCCAGGTGGCAGCCATGGATGACTGTGACCTCAGGCTCCAGGATGCAGGCTGGGAACTCAGCAGTGACCAGTGCTTTTCTTTCATGAAAGGAACCAAGTACAGAGCCTGGGCCAGGCAGGGACGAACGGCTCTGTACAAACTATAGGCCGCCCTCGTCAGGCAGCCCAGGCATGAAGCCATGGCCCACCTCAGGGAAGGCACTCCCTTCTGTCCACAGGGAATACGGCCTGTGCCACACAACCTGCCGTGTTCATCTGAGACTATAAGCTGGGGAATTCCTGCTTCAGGTTAAGCACTTGAAAGTTAAGTGACTAGTGTAAAACCACAAACCCAACACCTATGAAACTGCTGGCTCTCACAACACAATCACTGTAATGAAGATGGAACACTTTAATCATCGAAATGATATCTGTGGATTACCATTCAACCGTCCCAGTATGCATTCCATGGCTTGCTAAGCACCCAAGCCTCCCCCGTGCCTTCCTCCTCTACTCATCAATTACAAAGAGGGACCTCACTGACCCTTAGCAAGGCCTTAATGCCAACAGCAGCAGACAGTGCAGTGCTGCAAAAATACCGCAAGGGTAGGAAGAAACATCTAGCCACCTGTGATGTTACCTGGGGCTTAGCCTGCTACACCAGCTGGTCCAGCAGCAGGGTACTTAGCAAAAGCTTGAGTGGCTGAAAACCCTTTCCCCACCTTCTGTCTTTCGAAGGCTGGCAAGACATGAGTCTGAGCCAGCGTGCAGGGTTAAAGAAGTGGGGGAGAGGTGCCTCTCCAAAAACTAGGGTGGAGAAGGAGCAAGACAGCCACAGCCGCTGGTTTCCATGCCAGTCAGTCAGTTCCAAAGGAGACTGGAAGGAGGGCTGCTAGGCCCCGCCTGCCTGTCAAAGGCCGGGGCCTGAGTCACGCAATGCTCCTGGAGCTGCCATGCTGTAGACCCCCACCTGTGGGGAGTAAGAGAAACCCCCTGCAATTTGCCAAAGAAACTGCCATTGTTTATTTAAGAATATTAAAAACAAAAATAAAAAATTTAAAGATGATGGAAATATGGCTCTAGATTTGAATTTTTAAAAGTTTATTTTTAAAAAAGCCCCAGTAACACCATCAAAGAGCAAAAGCACCTCCCCGGCCTTCTGCGTGCAGCTGTGTAACTAGAGCTTCACAAAGAGTGTGCGATGTGAACACAGCACTGGAGCCCACTGGTCTGCCACCGGCTAAGCTCCCGAAGCCTCCCTCTACAGAGCAGCCAGGTCCCTGGGGCAGCTGCTTGCACACGGCGGCCCCAGGGTAAAGAGCGCACTCACTTGAGTTCAGGGTCTGACGAGTCTTTGCACTTGTGCAGTATGCTTCGATGACCTTCAGGATCTGTGCATCTTCTTCTAGAGCAGCTGTGCCTGTTCAGAGACATGGGAGCCCATCAGCACTCAACACAGCCCAGAGCTGTGCTGGCCAGTTCAGACAGCTGGCCTTCACTTTTCCATTAGCTAATCTAAGTTCTTTAAGTCTTTATAAATGGGTATATTAAAGACTTTTGAGTTTTGAAACTAACACTGCAATAGGTTAGCACACAACTCCTTAGAGTTCTAACCCCTCAGAAAAGCAGCCCCCCACCCCCACACTGAAAACAGCATGAGACTGAATTGTGCAACCCTTGGGAGGTAACAGCAGTAAGGAGATATCAAGTCTCATGAAGACAGGAAGTGAGAACCAGAGCTAAGCACCCGAGTTTCACAGAGTGGACCTTGAGACAATGGGTCAAGTGTGAGGAGTGAGGACAGGAGACTTAGAGAAAGGCCTCAGGGCACTGCCTTCGAAGGGGTATTTCTTCTGACCCACGAATTCCCAGTGACACTAATGTAGGAAATTTACCATGCCAAGCAGGGGTGCCTCAAAGCTCTGCCTTCAATGTGCCCCTAGGTGCCAGCTTCATCTCCAGGCAGAGGCCAGAAGAACGTGGGAGGCAGTGAGAACAGGCCCAGCCCTCAGCACCGCCGTGCTCACACATGAGATAAAGCTATTTAATCTCTCTGTATTTTCCTCCTCTTCTGGTTCTGCTCTAAGTTACTTATGCTTTTTTAATTCACCTCTTCTAATAAAAATACAGAAGAATAAAAGGCTGATGTTCTCATAGTTGTAAACAACTGTGTCTCAGTAACTTTTATGTATCTATTTGAGACAAGGTCCCACTATGTATCCTTGACTGCTCTAGAACTTGCTATGTGAGCTAGGCTGACGTCTTAAGTACAGAAATGTGTCTGCCTCAGACTCGAGTGCTGGGCTCAAAGGTGTGTACCACCATGCCCAGTTCTCAGCAACATTTTAAGGAAGTAAACTGTATATAAGGCAAACCAAATATTTACTTCAAGACAGTGAACTGCAGTCCTAAGAGCGAAAAGCCCTTGAAAACGCCCAAATCTACCACCTGGAATAAGCCATTAGGCAGGTTCCCACAACACATGGCTACTTCCAAAGAACACAGGAGGCTGCAGCAAAAGCTTTTCTCTCTGAGCAGTGGAAGCACCTTCAGTCAGGCGTGCACTGTCTGGCTGCTGGAACTAGTTCTCGCTGCATTCACACTTGGGCGAGCTCGTGCAAACCGCATGGGGCACACGGGCAGAGAAAAAGCCGTAAAGCCACAAGCACAGTGCAGGCTGTGTCCACAGCCATGCGGTCGGTCACTCTGCTCACAGCCGCGTGGACTACTCTAGACTGTGTAATCTCCTGCACGCAGTGTGGACTACTCTAGACTGTGTAATCTCCTGCACGCAGTGTGGACTACTCTAGACTGTGTGACTCCTGCACGCAGTGTGGACTACTCTAGACTGTGTGATCTCCTGCACGCAGTGTGGACACTGTAGACTGTGTGACTCCTGCACGCAGTGTGGACTACTCTAGACTGTGTGACTCCTGCACGCAGTGTGGACTACTCTAGACTGTGTGACTCCTGCACGCAGTGTGGACTACTCTAGACTGTGTGACTCCTGCACGCAGTGTGGACTACTCTAGACTGTGTGACTCCTGCACGCAGTGTGGACACTGTAGACTGTGTGACTCCTGCACGCAGTGTGGACTACTCTAGACTGTGTGACTCCTGCACACAGTGTGGACACTGTAGACTGTGTGACTCCTGCACGCAGTGTGGACTACTCTAGACTGTGTGACTCCTGCACGCAGTGTGGACTACTCTAGACTGTGTGACTCCTGCACGCAGTGTGGACACTCTAGACTGTGTGACTCCTGCACGCAGTGTGGACTACTCTAGACTGTGTGACTCCTGCACGCAGTGTGGACACTGTAGACTGTGTGACTCCTGCACGCAGTGTGGACACTGTAGACTGTGTGACTCCTGCACGCAGTGTGGACTACTCTAGCCTGTGTGACCTCATGGCCTTGCAGTGCTCATGACTTATCCAACTGCAGAAGCTTTAGCACAGTGAGGTACTGGGTAGGGGAATAGGAACATTTCTCCTGCCCTTTGTCCTTGCTCTGGCGTGTCATCCGTTACCTGCTGGGGCTTCTTGGTGGGGACATGGGTACTAGATGCCTGTCCTGAGTTCTGAGCTCGTGCCTTTCTGCTCGCCCAGACCTCTCTCACATCAGAACCTAGGCCCACTGTCCGCTCAGTCCCGCCTCCTGCCAACTGTGTGCCTGTGCACCAAGAGGACAGCTGAGAGGACAGCTGAGGCCCCCAGCCTCCCCACCCCCACCCCCACAAGGGGCGTTGCATTTAGGAGCTGGGCACTGCCGCGATCTGCGTCAATTCTTGAGCAGGCTGCTACAGGGCACTCTGCAGCATCCTGGGTCTCCATCCACAGACGCCAGTACCAGGCACCTGGCTATCACAATAAAATGTTTTTAGGCATTGATCTACATCTCCTGGAGCAAATCCGCCATCTGAGGGACCAGAGCTGTGGACCTGGTCTTCCCAGCTTGCCTCACACTGGGTACAAAGTCGCATTAAAGTGTCTGCTAGTAACTGAAGGTCAGACCAGCATGGCAAGTACTTGTTCAATAAGGGCCACCAGGCACACCTGAGCCCAGCCCGTGCACTTCCTAACAGACAAGCCACGGGAGAATGGAGGGAGGACGGGAGTGCCGGGTGCAGCAGAGCAAAGGCGACGGGAGGTCACTGCTCCTCAGAGATGGGGGCTGGGGCGGGGCCGAAGAACAGCGATGCCATCGGGGACTACAAGCCAGGGTGTGAACAAGTCTTACAGAGCACCCTACCGCCCACTATTCCCCCTGCACGGCGGGAAGGTGCTCTCTTGCCCTGGGCACTAGGACTCTGAGGTGGCCATGCTCCCACGGGTAGGCACTCACTCTTGCGCACAGCAAACTCCTCGTCCGAAGGCTTCCGCTCAGGCTTGCGCTTCGGCAGCAGCTTTTTCATGGTCTTGGGGCTCTTACTAAGATCCTAGGGAAACACCATGGACAAAGCAGCTGACATACTCTGTAACAAACGGGCCGCCACCACCCAGCACCTCCAACCCCATCACCCGCTCTTCCATTCGTCTGTGCCAATGCCAACCCAAACCCAAACCAAGAGCCAGAGGGCATTAGCATCCCTCTGTAACTCCTCAGCTCTGACGAAAAGCCTCCTGCTAACAGACCAGACCCCATGCATCCCACAAGAGCACACAGCAGGCCTCTGTTGAAAAAGAGAAAGGACGGGCAGTCCACTCCCACACTCCCCATAAGCAGGGCAGGGCTGTCCATTCTGGGCTATAAGGGAAGGAAAATACGGTTATTAAAAAAAAGGAAAGTAAAGATACCTTCAGGAAAATGTACAAAACCCCAACGTTAAAAGCAAAGGGAGCAGGCAGGGAACCATGGCTAAGCACAGACAGAGCTTGGGAAAGGACGTGCTGGCTTCTCTGTGCAGGCTGTGTCCCCAGCTCTGAGCGAGGTCGAGACAGTGCAGCAACCATCTTAGCACTGTTCCTTTGGGGTAAAAATGGAGTGTACACAGCATGAGGGTGAGGTCCAACCGGGAGCACATTAGGGATAGACACCTGCCCCACTGCCGCCATCACGCAGGGTGAAGCACGTCCAGGGCAGGGTAGACTTTACAGCTATCTCTTCTACTCTCACTTGGTTTTGTTGTTGTTTTGAGATGGTCTGTGTAGCCCTAGCTGGCCTGGAACTCACTATTTAGATCAGGCTGGTCTCCAACCCAGAGATCCTCCTGTCTGCATCTGGCATGTGCTATCCCGCCCTGCTTGACTTCATTTTTGAAACATGTCTCCTGTGGTTCATGCTGGCCTCAAACTTCCTATGTAATAAAGAATGACCTTAAGACAGAACTCAGTTCCAAAAGAGCTGTACTGCACTCAACAGAGCACCCTGAAATACGGGAGCACTCACCAAAAGACCCTGTACTCTTCCTCACACAAGCCACCAGCTCCAGGCTCCTAGTGCCCGGTCACCTGGCTTCTCTGTCACACTCACGGAAGCTGAGCCTCCCCGGGTGAAAGCAGGGTTAGGTGGAGCGCATGAGACTGCAGACACTTAGTGAAGACACGGTGCACCATGGCTGCACTCGGCATGCAGGGAGAGCGGGGTGGACTCAAGAAGGCCAAGGAGGCACCGCCTTCAAGGGCTGCACCATCTGGAAAACCTACTCTTTACCTCCAACAGGCTCGGACTCTGGGCCAGATCTGGGGCATAGAATGACACGCAGTAGGGCGAAGCCCTAAGCAACCTACACATTCATGAGCACCTAGGCTCAGTGCCTCCTGGGCACCACCCCGTCAAGTACAGGCACAGTACCATACAGGTCCAAAGGTGGTGCAGACCCATCCTATATGTTTAAAGGTGCCTCCTGGCCCCTGAAGAAGGGGATGACAGATCCTCTTCTCAGTTCTGAAGGACTCACTGGGGGTCCTTATGCCATAACAGAAAGGCAAGACTTTCATTTCTGAACTCACTGAAATGACAAATGGAACTAAGTGCAGACCTTCACACACCAGGTGTTAAGACGTGCTCACTGTAGCTGGCAGTCTGAGTGGCTGCAGGGCCTCACCTCCTTGTAGCAGAGAGCAGCTGAGGGCCGGAGGGGAGGTGCGGGCCGCAGGCAGCTCAGGCTCCAAGGCTTGGGGGTCTTCGGAGGCTCCAGGGGTCCCCAGCTGATGGTGGTGTGTGGGGTACCGTGGTGAGAGGGGTGGGGGAGTGTGTGGTACGCAGGCGTCAGTGCCACAGGCTTGCTGTCCGCGTGCTTGCTGGATGGAGTGATAGGATGGGAGGGAAGCTGCCAGGCACAAAAGCAGAGCAGAGAGAGCATGAGATGGATGAGCCACTGGAGAAGGCCCTAACCACACAGCTTTACTCCCTCGCTGGACCACACTCCTAGGGATGCTGAGAGATCCACACTCTACACAGGTCAGTGTGTGAGAAACAAGTGCCGGCATCACAACTTCAAAACAGGTACTCCTGACTGGAGCGTGATGGCTGACGGTGGGGAATCCTCCCCGGAAATACAGTATCACCTGCTAACACAGGAACAGGGCAAACAAGGCCTGCGCCTTGTGCAGAGAGGGGAAAGGAGGGAACAATTTTCTTGGGGCACAGCAGCCAGGTCCATCTCATCTATTCTCTTTCTGGTTTGGGCAAACCCAGGAGCCACAGAGCTGTGTGAAGGCAGGAATTTGGACCATTTGGCCTTCACAGAAAGATGTTAATCTCTGGAATAAAGGTATTTTTCTCTTTAAAAAATAATCTCAACTTGTCTGAATAAAAACAGTAATTTGAAATCTGACTTTTTCAGTGGCATATATTATTAAGGTTTATATTCTTATAAAAACCCCCAAATCAACCACACTGACAATGGATGAACATGTTAATAAAGTAAGTGTGACTCAAATGAGCCCCTGGATCTCACGCAGTTAATGCACAACTGACTGGAGCTGGCTGTTACTAAGGCTGTGAAGGCCGTGGCACCTCAGAGCTGAAGAACAGTGTCCAAAGCACCAAATCACCCACTAGTGGTTGGTTCGTGTTCGTGGCACATTATGGACACTATACCAGTACAAAACAAGCTTTCTCAAAATAAGTAACTACAGAGGAGAAAGCTGCACCCCACGGCCCTTAGAGCAGTAATATGGCAATAATTAAACACTGGTTCGTTTCTCCTTACTTGGAAGAGTGATGCCTGATGCTAAAATAAGAGAATGATTGATGCTGGATCCCAGGCAGAAAAAAAACACAGGCCAAGGAATTCTAGGGAAACAGCAGCGCTTTGTGCCCTAGCAGAAGAGGCACAGCACCCTCTTCCCACCAGGACTTCACAGCTGCCCACAGCAGGGGAGCCTCTGGCTTCCACTACACGCCACCAAATGCCAGACACCATGCACATGGACACAGCAAAGTCTATGTGACAGGTGTGGGGAGCCTGGCTGCACTTTGCTATTCTGCACACACACACTCAGGCTACCTATGTCCTTGATATACACTTACCCACAAAAGCTAAGTGGGTTTTTTTGTTTTGTTTTTGTTTTTTTGAGACAGGGTTTCTCTGTATTGTTTTGGAGGCTGCCCTGGAACTCACTCTGTAGACCAGGCTGGCCTCGAACTCAAGAGATTTGCCTGCCTCTGCCTGCCTCCCAAGTGCTGGGATTAAAGGTGTGTGCCACCAACACCCGGCAAAGCTAAGTGGCTTTTATTTCTTTGGGGCATTGGGAACTGATCCCAGCACCTTGCAATGCCAGGCAAATGCTTTGCCACTGAGCTACACCCCCAATTCCCAGCCTTCTCTTCAGGATCATTTTTGGTTTGTTTTTGTTTTTTCGGGTTTTGTTTGTTTGTTTGTTTTTTGAGGATAGAGTTTCTCGGTATAGCCATGGCTGTCTTGGAACTCACCCTGTAGACCAGGCTGGCCTCAAGTTCATAAAGATCCACCCGCCTCTGAAATGTTTGCTCCATTTTCTTCAATAAAAATGGTTAAAATTTAAAATAACACCAACTTCTCAAGCAAAGATGTCCACACCAAAGTTTAAACACCAATGCTGACCTATTTTGAAATTACTATCTCTAAAAAACCAAAGTGCTGCTGAGTTTTTGATTAAGTGAAAAATAAATGATATTTTTGGGGGGGTTGTTTTCAATGTTTTGCTTCTGTTTGGAGTCAGAGTCTCAAATAGCATAGACTGGACTTAACATACAGAGAAGGATGACCTTGGACTTCAGATCTTCATGGCCCACCTTCCAAGTGGTGGGATTACAGCCACGTGCCATCAACTCAGGATCAACCTTTGTGTTAAGGAAGACCTCTACCACCTGAGCCCAGGGCCAACCCTGTCATTTCTTAAAGTAACTCGGGAACTGTGTCCAATGCCTTCTTAACACCATATCACTTCTCTTTTGCTTTTTTGTTTATCTGCATAACATAGATAAAGCTTTAAATTCTCAGAAAAATCACCCACAGGGCAACGGCTCTAAGGGTTAAGCGTGAGAGCACAGAGGTGTCTGTGGGGCGGTGTGCTCTGTGATGACAACTGCACACGTAGGAGGCAGGGGTTAAAATCCCTCCACCTGACGATAGCCCAACCCGAGACACCGCAGTGAGAGCCGAGAAAGGAAGCTACGTGCTCCTTACTGTGTGTGATGGCACCGAGTGGGGCTTGATGGTAGGGTTGGTCACAGAGGTGACCTTCGTCTGCTTCTGTAAGTGGTCCACCCATTCATGAAGGTCCTGCTGGTTGTTGCAAGACACCAGAATCCGCTCGATCATGCTTCCTAGAGAGGAGGAGGTGGAATTACAAGTAAATGCACACAGGCACATATAGAACCCGAGGCCACCTTGACACACCCTTTCAAATATGCAAGGCTTGACACTCAAGGACAGGCTGCCTCCCCTCACTGCAATACAGCATCTGTACATGCTTGGCACGTTACCTGATATTTCAAACGCATTCCTATGGTTTTCACTGTCCTCAAGTTTTGTGATTGTCATTCCTGTCGTTGGTAGCTTTCCCTAAAAGAGAACCCCCACAAAAAAAAAAATTAGCGCTTTTCTTATAGAAAAGGTGCCACTGAGCATCAAAGGACTTTACATGTGGCAGCACAGCCACGTACATGAGACATCAGCCCATGGTAGAGATCCCAAGTGGGCAAAATGGCAGAGTATGACTCAAAGCAGGATTTCATCTAGTTGGTGACTCTGTGGACGAAAACAGGAAACGGTCCTCGCTTCAAAGGACACATTGCAGAAGAACGCACACTGCCTCACAGAGAAAGAGGGCGTTCTGAGTTTGAACCCAACTGCTGAGAGAGACCAGAGCATACACTGAGAGACTGTGTGACACACCCTGTCAAACAGAAAACACACAGAGATCAGACAGAAGCCACAGGGTGCACACATGACAGCCAAGATGGGATTCTCAGCAAAGCAGGGAAAGTCAGCTGAGACCTGATAGGGACAAAGCTCAAGCACTCAACACTTTCTTCAGGCCACACGGACTATGACACCTGGTGGCCAAAGATCAAATCTTTAAAGAGTCTACGTGTCTGGCACCCAGGAAACAGCTGTTAGCTGAAGGCAGGGCTTGTGCTCATGAGTTTTTGTCAACTGGACACAAGTAAGAGACACCTGGGAAGAGGAAGCCCCAGGAGGAACTGCCACCCTCCCCATGGTCCCTAGCAAGCCTGTGAGGCATTTCTCCTCATTAATGGCTGATGCGGGAAGCCAGCCCACTAGGGGAAGCACTGCCCTTGGGCAGGAGGTCCTGCCGAGAGTAAGGAAAGCAGCAGGCAGCCTCCTGCACAGCCCCTGCTCCTGATTCCCTGCCTTGCCTTTCTTCATTGATGGACTGTAGTCTGGACACGGCAGCCAAACAGCCCTGGACTCAAGTTTCTTTCAGTTATTGTGTACACACAGCAATCCAGAGCAAACTAGGACAACTGCTGACCTGGTCTCAGGGAACCTGGCAGGTGCCCTTAGCATGTGGCAGTAGAGGCTGGAGAGATGGCAGTATCCAACACCACACAGACAGTTTCCCCACAGGTGCCCCACTCCAGGATAAAAAAAAAAAGTCACACACTCCAAGCAGCCAAGGGCAAAGCTGAGAGCCCAGCAGACAGCCCGACACCCATGGCTGAGGCAGTGCTGTCTGGTGCAGCTCAAACCCTTACTTAGGAACTTAGTGGTGGTGCTGGCTTCTCCAAAGCCAGTGGGGGAGTCTGCTGTTTGGTTGTTAGGACTGCTCCTACTATACAGTTCATACTAGCCTCAAAAATCTCCATTTTTCTCCCTTGCCCCCCCCCCCCGGGTGCTAGGGTTGCATACATGCCCACCACCCAGCAGTCACTGGTCCATCTGCAGAGATGAGCACTGAGGTGATGTCCACCACCAGTGCTGATTAGCACACTCTCAGGAGCTGTGTGGAGCACAGAGACAGCAGCATCTGGCCGCACACCACAGCAACGATCCCGGCACAAGGATAGCCCAGGCTGAGGCTCTGGGGTACAAAATGGAGCTGGCACCCTGGCACCTTAGTCACCCAGCCTCTCCTCAGGGGGGCTCACCAATGCAGGCCTTGCACTTCTGACTCCCCCATGCATGCCTGCTTTGCCATCTAAAAGGGCACCTTTGGAACAACTGTGGTGACAAGCCCTCCCAGGGGCAGAACAAACCACATCTCAGGACTCTACACTCCTTCCCATGACAACATAAAAGAACCCAGTCACACTGAAAGATGCAACAAAAATTCATGTGCTGTGCCCTTCTGTACGCTGCGAATATGTGTTGGATTTATTGGTTGATGAATAAGGCTGTTTTGGCCAACAGACAGGCAAAACATATAGCTAGGTGGGAATTCCAAACCAAGTGCAGAGAGAAGGAAGGTGGAGTCGGGGAGACGCCATGCAGTCGCTGGGGAAGCAAGATGTGAGGTAACAAGTCACGAGCCTCATGGTAAAATACAGACTATCAGAAATGGTTAATTTACAGGTAGAGCTAACCAGCAAGAAGCCTGAACCACTGGCCAAACAATTGTATTTAATATATTAGCTTCTAAGTGATTATTTCATCAGTAGCCGTAGGGACCCAGCGAGAGGGAGAAAAGCTGGTCCAGTAGAACCGGGCGAGACAGAGAAATATCCAACTACAAGAGGTAAACTTACAGATAAGAACTCATAGCCATGACATTACAGTACCACATACCATGCATATAAGGTGCGTCCAATATGAGCACATAAATCAAAGGCATCCACAAACAAAAAAGTATCAATTTAATTGTCCGTACCTGATAGATGAAACCGCTCATCCTGGGACTGGCAGACAACATGAGCAGAAGGCTTGGGAAGAGCAGGAGATATCGCTCATTCTTTTCCTAATATCAAAAACAATACATTCACACATGTACACACAGATTCTTCACACAAGACCCTATGGAACTGTATACCACATTTCCTAATTGAGGCTTCTACCAAATTATACTGGCAGTACTAAATGCTGACAAAGTATAACCAAGTCTACATTAGACAGTAGACTGAATCTACACTAGACTCTAGCACAGCAGAGCTACAATCAGCACAAAATACCCACACCATTACATTTTCCAAAGCAGAAAGTAACTAAATGATTCAAGAGCCCTGACCTTGCAAGCTCCCATAAGACATCTTCTTTTCTTTTTAAGGTTTATTTAGTCAGGAGTGATGGTACATGCCTTTAATCCCAGCATTCCTGAGGCAAAGGCAGTCAGATCTCCGTGTGTTCCAAGTCACCCGGGTCTATATACTGAGTTCTAGGACAATCATAGCTATGTAACCACAAGACCCTGTTTTAAAAAAACAAACAAACAGGGCTGGAGAGATGGTTCAGCACTGTCTGTTCTTCCAGAGGTCCTGAGTTCAATTCCCAGCAACCACATGGTGGCTCACAACCATCTGTAATGAGATCTGGTGCCCTCTTCTGGCCTGCAGGCCAGAATACTGCATACATAATAAATAAATAAATAAATAAATAAATCTTTTAAAAAAAAAAAAAAACTTATGCTGGGCGTTGGTGGCGCACACCTTTAATCCCAGCACTCGGGAGGCAGAGGCAGGTGGATCTCTGAGTTCAAGGCCAGCCTGGTCTACAGAGTGAGTTCCAGGACAGCCTCCAAACAAAACAATACTGAGAAACCCTGTGTCAAAAAACCAAACCAAACCAAACCAAAAAAAAAAAAAAAAAAACCCTGAAGGTTATTTATTTGTATTATGTGAATGAATGTCTTTCTGCACTGCATGTACGTCTGTGTACCACACTGAGTACAACACCCAAAGAGACCACAAGAGAGTATCGATCCCTGGAACTAGAGTTACAGATGTTTGTGAGCTGCAAAGTATGAGCTAGGAATCAAACCCAGGGCCTTGGGAAGAGTACCAAGTATTCTTAACCACTGAGCCATCTCTCCAGCCCTGTGTGGAGTATCTCTGAATACTACTTGGTAACTTTCTGTTCATGGCCCAGAGAAAATTAACTTAGAAAAATTTTAATGAGGGATGGGGACAGGTGGACTTTTCAAGCTACAAGGAAAATAGGGTAAAATGTTAAGTAAATGTTGGCTCTCATCTATCTGATCAGCCTTTTCTGGTTTACATGGAAAACCTAAAGTATTTCATATACATTAAATATTATATTATTTGCTTCAAGACAACAAAAGTCATAGAGAACACACACATCTAAGAGACAAAAGTCCTGAGAGTCTAAAAGCCAAAAAGGCAAGCAGGAGTCCTCCAGCATGTTTTCAGAAGTGAGTGAGTACAGCAAACAGCTTTCCCAAGCTTGTTATTTACAATGTTACACCCATTCAAAGGGTGGCAGGAATGAAGGGGCATCTGTGTCCTAAAGAAGGTGCTGAAAACAACCTGTTAGTTCTCCTGAGGGCACACAGGCTGGAGCCTACTAGCAGAAGACCTCTCTCCTTGAGGGCATGGCAGCTCTGATTCTCTTTGGGTAAACATCCACCACTGTTAGGGAGACTTAGCATTTTGGGAAATGTTGCATAGTTATCTAAAACAAAACTTAAAAATCATATAGGTAAGGGGCTGGAGATGTCTCTGTGGTTTAAGAACACTGGCTGCTCTTCTCTAGGACTCAGGGTCAATTCCCAGCACTCACATGGCAGCTCACAACTGTCTGTAACTCCATTTCCACCTTGGACAAAAACATACATGCAGGCAAAACACCCACACCTATAAAATCATTTGATTGAGGAACAAATTTCTGAAGGATCTGAATGTTTCAGGTCAATGTGGTAAAAGAAAGTGACAATTCCTTACAGTAGCTACACTATACTGTGGTGGGGACACTCAGGGCTCAAGCTCTGCTGCTTCTCATCCAAATGGCTGTGTGTGTGGAAGGTGAAACTCAAGAGTTTGCCCCACAATCAACAGGGCTACCCCACGATGGTCACCCATCCACAGGCAACTGTCACTGTGGACGGGTGTCAGCTAACAAGCCAGAAACAAAGATGACTCCAGAAGTAGACACCAGAACACACACAGGCCAGTGCCATACAACACTAGGCTTCCAAAAGTGCTCTCTGATGAGAAGCCTGAGCCAGGCCAGGCAAGCGTCTCTAGAAGACACCCGTACATGATGAGACACACGCTGGTCCCTTCCAGTCTTAGACAGACACCCTCTCAGGTCACAGGGCTCCGGACCGAGCTGATCCTGGGTGGATGTGAGCTTTCCACCCACATCATAAGCTCTCCGTGTCTGCCAAGGATAAAAAGTGGGTCCCAAGCGCGAGACTCCTGCGCACCGTCAGCAGCACACGCCATTACTCTAGCCCTGAGATACAAAACCTTACGAGTGGACAGAGCCACGAGGTGAAGGCGGACCCCAGTACCTCGCTTCCTGCGCACTGAATGGTGACTTGGGACATGTAAGTAACACTGCCCAGTGACTTTATGTCATCACCCTCCCAGCTCCGGATGGGCTCCGTAAGAATCTGCAGCTCCAGCTCTTTCCTTTTTCGGACTTCTTGACACTGGGCCTGTGGGACACAGCACACAACCATTTACAGACAGAAGCATCCAGAATCTTGTCTTTACTACACTGCTGTTACTTTTATAATTACTGTTCTGTACCAGCCAAATGATGGATGATTTAACTTCAAGCCAAGGAATCAAAATGCACATGTGCTCTGGCACCTTAACCCTTATAAGCAGTTCTGCCAGGAAGCCACGGCCAGTGAACCAGAACATTCCTTCTGGCTTCACCAGTGGCAGACAAGCCCAAGAGGAGGAAGTAGCATGTGCAACGCACAGCAATGTGTCTGAAGCACAGCTGGACAACATGACAGTTGAGGACCTGTGTCCTGATGCCACTCAAGAGCTATGGACTTGGAGGCAGGGAAGTTAAATGACTACAACATCTACAGCAAAAGCCATGTCTGTCCTTTCTGAACCTCAGTCAGCCCAGTTCTGGCTCATGTCCACAATGCACTCAAGGGGAGAATTTACTGGCCATGGAATGTTGCATGACCTTTACCTCATCCCAATGAACACTGCATTCAATTCACAAGTCACTTCTTTACTGTGTCTCTTTTCCAGTGGGTGCTAGTTCAACACGCATTTATCATGATGATATCTGACAGAAAGTACAATAAGCTTAGTCACTTACTGAGAGGTTTTTGAAGGCAGTCATGGACTTCTGAATATCCTGTCTATCAGGGTGATAATCCTGTGGATAAAAGATCGACGTGATTAACTTTCACACTGGAGAATCTTGGAGACTAGCTTGAAACCTTTGATACTCTTCTTAGCTTAGCTTCTCAGTGTTTGAGAACTGCTTATCTTTTAAGGGATCATTTGGAACAAAACTGCTAAGAAGGATCAGCAAGCAGCATTGTTCTCATGAGAGCATGGCTACAATTCTATCTACAGCCATCTATACCCTTCTCTCTAAGGGCAGGGCTGAGCTGGATAGTTACAGAAAAGGTTCACAGCAATAAGCAGGACAACCAGGGTCCCTGTCAGCTCTCAAGCTGTTATCCCAGACTAAATAAACATCCCCACTACCACCCTGCAACTCAGGCTCCTACTGCTTGCAGCTACATGCTGACAGGACACCCAACACTACTTGAAAATTACTCCTTGCAGCTTTTGGAGCACTTGGTGGGCAGATGAGTACATACTTCCTTCTAAGTAGTAAGAGACAATACTTCCTTCTAAGTCTGGATGAGGAGAAAACCTCCACGCTTAAATCCTTCTGAAAGTCACTAAGTTAGAAACTCGAGACGAGCTCTGGGGTAGTCTCAGGGACATGAGGTCTGACAAGGCTCAGGGCCTCAGGTCAGGGAGCAGTGGCACCTCCATGTGTCTCTCCAGCTCCTTCAGCAATGTGGGGTACTTGTCCAGGCGCATGAAGGGCTTGCTGAGGCCAGTGGTCAGCACCAGGATCCCAGGACTGCTGGCACCTTTGGATTCCATGAACTCACCCAGGTCCTCGCTGAGCAGCAGGGGAAAGAAGGGAGAGGGAAGAGGCTCCAGTTAGGGACACAGAGTCAGAGCTCTGCGTCACAGCAAGTTTCTTCTACGACAACATGGCCTACTGCAATGGCTGCAGCTTTACACCCTCAGATGTGCTGGTTACCACCCATAGGAAAAGTACCCAGAACCACTCTCAACTCGTACCTCAAGGACACACATCTCTACTCAATCCCACTGACAAAGGGCCCTAGGCATGCTGGCTTCAAGGAACCTTACAAGGTCTCAGAGGTCTCCAGAGAGAAAGCTGGTAAGAGCTTCCATAAGCTGTCTCTGAGCCTCGGAGACCTACGTGAAGGGACCCACACCCTAACGAGGGGTATGACTGAGTCCTGGTGAACTGACCACACTCTCTAGGAGCCATAGTGGCTTGCACAGAGCAGCACAGAAGGACAGGGCCAGTTACAGGCCTGGCATGGGGGGACTGTCACAGCATCACTTCATCTCACCCCCACAGGATATACAGAAAGCAGTGGGGGGCACCATGGCAGTCCCAAAATTTAGAGAGCATTAAAAACAAGTCTTAAACACTCTCCACCCTTTCACAACCCTTCACTGATCAGCAAATGTTCCTATGACAAGCATCGCCCAGAGTCCTCAGTTTCTGCTGAACCCTCGATAGTTTTCTCACAGCTCACCTACTGGGTTTGTTCTAGGTCCAAAGTCCTACTAAGAACACTGTCTCCATCCTCACTGGCTCTCCATAAAGCACCATGGTATGCAGGAGAGACACCCATTTCACCAGCTTTCTCTGAGACATGCAGTCGGTGAGGCACAGCCCCATAAAATGGCCTTTCTAATTCAGAGATCCCCCGCCACTTTCAAAGGAACCAGTCTTTCCCAACCAGGGAAAATGACACCCCCCCCGTCCCCCGTCATTCAGGTACTCCAGGGTTTGGTGACATGTCATAATACAGTCCCAGCAGAGAATTCACAGCGCCCCCTGCTGAGAACTCATAAGAATAAAGTAAAATTTAAACAAGCCAAAAAAGTAACTGCATGTGATCTGTATGTAGCATCCTCTGCTACAGGAAAGATGCTCACAGCAAAGAACGCAGAGCTGCACAGAACTTCCCGGACAGTTTCACCTTGCAGCTTCTTAACACCATAATTAAACAAAACAACTCATCAGAGCTATTCTGACAGATGATGGTAAATTCAGCTTAGCTTTCATTGATGTAGGCCACCGTGTAGCCAAGCAAAGGTAACTAACTGGTGGGAAATGTGTTCTTACAGAACAACTTATAAAGCCCATTCAGAACGCATGGCCCCAGGACCGTGTGTGTATCAACACAACAAAGGAAAGGCCATGGCAGAAACCTGTGGAGCTGGCGATGGCATGGCATACCCATCACATCTTCACACAGCGCTAGAGCCAGTCTTGCCGAGGGCCCAAGCTGACAGTTAAGAATGTACAACAAACCCAAACCCAGGACTTGTGTGCTCTGGGCAAGTCTTCCCATCAGTGAACTACCCCCAGTTTACAAAAGCAAAGCTTTCAGACTTGAATATACGACCTTACTTAGAAACTCAAAACCTAGCCTCAGGTATCAAACAGAATCTAGTGGCCATGGTGTGGTAGCCGAACAGCCACCAGAGCTTCGGGAAAGCAAAAGATAGTCAGCCAGTCCAGCAACTCAGTGGAGGCAGCACTGCTGAAAGAGGTGATCAGACAGGAGACCACGTGACCCCAAGCACCAACTTACGGCTCAGGAGGAGGATGGGATCTGCAGCGGGCTGAGGGGGAACCCTCACAGTTCAGGTACCTCAGAAGAGCACACAAACACCACATCCTGCTGGCTGCCACCTCAGGACTCTCCTCTTTTATGGCTCAGAGTCCCACAACCAGCTGTTCCAGGCTGTTCAGAGCAGACCTAAGGTCCCCACTCCACATTCAGCATGCCACGTTGAACAGGCAGCTGGGACACTCCCTGGGCAACACCTAGTCTGTGTCCTTCCCCCCTGTTATTTTGAGATGTGTGTTTGCCTTTCAGACAAGACCCAAATAGTCACTGGGGTAATAGCAGAGTGGAGGTGAGCAGCACTGCCCACTGGCACTGGCCTCAGCTCTGCTACTTTAACCCCCTCCCTCCCACAGCAGCCAGACAGACTGCACAGCACCACCGTCCACCCAGCCATTTCGTTCTCACTCTCCAGGGTGTGTGGGGGTGGGGAGGGGGGATAACGTCTCACCTGCTCTCTATCCCCCATTTCAGTACATCAACAATTCCTAAAGACTATTCAGAGACACAAACTTAACACCTGGGTTTTGCTTTTGTAAAATTTCTTAACTTCGTAGCCCAGGGAGTCAATGTAATATGCAACTGAATGTAAATGTCACGCTAAGGGGAACAAGAGGCTGGCCCAGCCATCCCAGGGAGGAAGGAGGAGAACACGGTGGGCCAAAGTGTGGCTTCTACTTTCCCTCTGGCTGTGAAGGCCCTGCCCTGCCCTGCCCTTCCACTCAAAACTATAGGTGTTAAACAGCTGGGAGATCCTTGCACACTGAGCACACTAAGAAGTACAAAATACCTGGGCACTTACTTTTCTTACACAGGTCAGACAGGAAACTAATGAGGCCTTACTGTGTGAGCTCTGCAGTGACTAATGCATGCATGGTATTCTTACGCTTATCACACGGACTCTGGCCACTGTAGCCTCTGCTGCATTTCTAGGGAGGCAGGCAAGGCTTGTGCTTCATTGTTTTAAACCAAAATGTCCAGTTAAGAACACACTAAAGCTACTGAAAATATAAAGCACATGTATCTTGATGCCGATGAACACTTTTCCATGAAGAGCTTTGAACACACTTAACTGCTGTTTATAAAAGAAACCACATAATTTCTCCCAATAATAACAAAGTTGCGGTGATAATAAAATAGGCATGGTGTGCCTCTTTTAGCATCAGAAGCCAACCCTGAGCTCACCAGACATGTGCTCAGTCACCTGGCATGATACCAGGACTCTCCATAATGAAACTGCCCAGAACACCTAAACACCCAGCAATCTCTCCTCCCAGCTCAAAGGGAACCGCTGGCACCAGACAGCGCAAGTGAAATCCTGCACATGAATTGTGTCAGATTGAAAGGTTCAAGCAAATGGTCAGCAACTGAACGCTCCGCCCACAGACGGTCCTCAACTGAAACAGGTGCTTCTCTTCCAACCGCCCCACTCAGCCCAGTCCCCCAGCTCTCCCGCCCACCCAGCAGAAAGCTCATCCTGAGGCCTCCGCACTTGGCAGCTGCCCTCCAGCTCTCCTCCAAAGAAAAGGTCTCAGGCTACAGCACCTTCTTCTCTGTCTGTCTGTCTGTCTGTCTGTCTGTCTGTCTGTCTGTGTGTCTGTGTGTCTCTCTGTCCCTCTCCCTCTCTCCCTCCCTCCCTCCCTCCCTCCCTCCCTCCCTCCCTCCCTCTCTCTCTGTGTGTGTGTGTGTGTGTGTGTGTGTGTGTGTGTGTGTGTGTGTGTGTGTGCGCGCGCGCGTGTGTGCTGGGGGGTTGTTGGACTATGAGGTTTCAGAAGCTGCATGTACACACTTGTGTATGTGCGTTGGGGGAGGGGGTTTGCTGGGCTCAAGTCAGGCCCAGCATCACAGTCTTCCTGCCGTCTGAGAATCAACGAAAGATCCCCTCAGCTCCTCCAGTACCTGTCTGCCTGCCTGCTGCCACACTTCCTGCCATGGCGATACTGGACTGAACCTCTGAACTGTAAGGGAGCCCCAAGTAAAAGTTTTCTTTCTTTCTAAGAGTTGCAGGGGTCACGGTGTCTCTTACCAGGGACAGAAGCCCTGACTAAGGCACAGCCCAGGATCTTTTTCTTTCACAAACACTGACCAGTCTTTTGGCTTTCTTAACACATGTTCAAGCGCTTGGTCTGAGGGCAAAATCAAGGTGTCCTTGTTTAGTGTGAATGCTGTTCCACGCAGGATCTAGAGGGAGCAGAGCTGCCACCTCCCTTCAGGCCCAGATGTCGCAGCCAACAAACCTGTGTTCTGTGAGGACACCCACAGCAGATGGGTGGTTGGCACAGTAAGCCAGGTACAGGGTCCTCATCTGCGGCACCAAGCTCAGAAAGCAGCCGCCAACTCTCTGCTGGGCCTCCGGAGACCTGCAGGTGTGACAGAGAGACACCATCAGACAGAAGAAACCAGCAAGGGGCAGAGGCACCAGGCTCTTTTCCTCGGCCCCGCCCCCATACCCTTCTGCTCCTGCCCACTCCTGCAGGCTGGGGACTAACTTCCCACAGCCAGGTCTGACATGCCACATGACTGACCAACCTAGCCAACTCTATGTCCCTGTGAGGTGAAGAAAATACATGTCCTGAAGTCTTAAATACTGCACACAAAGTTAGAAGTAATTACCAAACATGGCTGCCTAAATGGAAGTTTTCCCCATGTGGTAACGAGGGTACAAGAGCAAGTACTTCAGAGCCCCCACCGCAGGTGACAGCTAGAGATGAGCCACTTCTTCCCACCTCCAGCAACAGCAAAGGGCCACAGGACTCCAAGTTTAAAGTCAAGAAGACGGCAAGTGTTGACACTTGGCATCACCAGCAGGACGCAGTGGGCTACACACAGCCATCACTGGGGCTTGCGGTGCTTGGCCTATCTTCCCGGATCGTAGGCCATCATACTACACACAGGGAGCCTGAGAGGACACCCCAGTAGTCCACCACCATCCCGTTCTTAGCACACGGATAGGAAAGAGGACTCCCTCTCCCTGGGGACTGATCCAGAGAGAATAGGACCAAAGCTATTAATGCCAGAATTCCTCAACGCCAAATTGTGTCTTGCTTGACCCACAGTCAGTGCTGCAAGAGCACTGGTGTGTGTGTGAGTGTGTGTGAGTGTGAGTGTGAGAGTGTGTGTGCATGTGTGTGAGTGTGTGTGAGTGTGTGCGTGTGTGAGTGTGTGTGAGTGTGTGAGTGTGTGTGTGAGTGTGCGTGTGTGAGTATGTGTGGTGTGAGTGTGCGCACGCTAGTCTCAAGTTGTGTGCAGCTGTGCTGGCCAATTATGTCAACTTAACACCAGCTAGAGATGTAAGAGAGAAAAGAACCTCAATTAAGAAAACGCCTCCATCATGATGGGCAAAACCAGAGACAGCGGACTGGAGCTAGTGGAAGTCATGGACTATGGACTGACAGCTGGGGATCCTGCATAGGACCGACCTAAACCCTCTGAATATGAGTGACCGTTATGTGGCTTGATCTGTTGGTGGAGGCCCTGGCAGCAGGACCAGGACTTATCCTGGATGCATGAACTGCCTTTTGAATCCCATTTCCTGCGTTGGGATACCTTGTTCAGCCTTGATGGGGGAGGGGAGACTGGGTATAGCAGACTTTGTTCATTCCCCAAAAAAGGCCTTACACCCTCTGAAAGTGGATGGAGAGGTGGGAAGGGGTGATGCTGGAAGGATGGGAGAAGGGAAGGGAGGGGGAACTGGTGTTAATACAAAATGAAAAAGAAATTTTAAATTAAAAAGAGAAAGAAAAAAATTCTCCATAAGGTCTGGCTGCAGGCAAGCCTGTAGGGCATTTTCTTAATGATGGATGGGGGGAGAGCCCAGCCCATTGTGGGTGGTGCTATCTATCCCTGGGCTGGTGTTCTGGGTTCTAAACAAAGCAGGCTAAGCAAGTCATGAGGAGCAAGCCAGTAAGAAGCATCCTCCACAGCTTCTGCAACAGTTCCTGCCTCCAGGATCCTGCTCAGTTTGAGTTACTGCCCTGGGTTTCCTTTTGTAGTCTGTCATTCAGGATATGTAAGTCAATAAACTCTGTCCTCCCCAAGATGCTTTTAGGCACAGTGTTTCATCACAGCAATGGAAACCCTAACTAAGACGGTAGGAAAAGGGGGGGGGGAGCAAAGGAGAGAGGGAGGAGGAAAAAAAAAATACAAGATGACAGGGCTAAAAGGAAGGCAGAATAAACTATGTTCAAAAAGAATAAGCATAAAAATATTTGACTTATAATTTGTTCCTGAGAAAAGAAACACAGGCACTGCATCAAAGAAGGAAGAAACTCACAACTTCCATGAGCATTTATGACACTGGGCTGGGGTACACACAGGCCATGGGCAGAGCATGCATTAGGCAAACTTAAGGCTCTGAGGTCAATCCCCTGATGGGGTGTCCTTCTGTATATATGCTGTAAATGTTTGTCTTATTGTCTCTGATGGGGTGTCCTTTTGTATGCTGTGAATATGTGTTTGTCTTACTGATTGATGAAGAAAGCTGTTTTGGTCAATGGGCAGGCAGGAAGTATAAGCAGAGCTTCCAAACTAGGAGAATCCTGGGAAGAGGAAAGCAGACAGCAAGTGGCGAGGGAGATGCCATGTAGCTGCTAAGGGAGAAAGAGGGTCACATATCAGCGGTAAGCCACGACCATGTAGAGATTAATAGAAATGGGTTAATAATTAAGAGAGAGCTAGCCAGTAAGAAGCCTGAGCCATCCGTCAAAACAGTTTATAATTAATATAAGCCTCTGTGTGTTTATATGGGACTAAATGGCTGTGGAACAGGACAGATAGAAACTTCCATCAGCAATCTCCTGCAGTGCAAATAAACAAAACCAACACAAAGCAATGACAAGAAAAATGAAAAAGAGAATAGTTTTTAAAATCTCCCAGAATAGAAAGCAGCTGTTTAGCTGACGGAGGGTATCCTGCTGTGCACCAGATGAAAGTTACAAAATGGAAAAGACAAGTGCAGGCAAATCAAACAGATAACCATAAAACTGGGCAGAATGCCTGAGCAAGACGCCAGTGTTCATAACGGAAGTGGCTCCCACGTTTCAGGGGTAAGCACTGACCCCAGGAACACAGCATAGCCTCTCTACTGGCGCCCACATTCCTGTCAACTCAAACAGTATGGTAAATGAAAGCTAAGGTCAAACACATCAGAGCACTCAACAGCAAAAGTGAGTTGGAGGCAACTCCAGAGACACAGCATGTGGGGGAATCATCTCAGAATCAACCAGTATTTCACAGTATGGAGAGGGATCTATCTGTGTTGTGGAATATTACAAAGATGTATTATATTTGTTTATGTTACAGAATATTACTTATGTAAAGGTGTGTTGCATCTGTTTATGCTGCATTTGCTTAACTATGTAAAGATGTATTGCCATTTCACCAATAGCTAGGCAGTAGTGGGATGGGTGGAGCTGGCAGGCAGAGAGAATTAAGTAGGAGGAGGAATCTAGGCTCCAGGGAAAAAAAAGAGGGAGATGCCTGAGGTCAGTCAACCAGGCAGCCACCAGGCAGCTGTCAGCCAGCAGGAAAAGTAGGACGTACAGAATGAAAGAAAGGTAAAAAGCCCCGAGGCAAAACACAGGTGAAGAGAAACAGGATAAATTAAGTTGTAAGAGCTAGTTATAAGATAAGGCTGAGCATTTGTAACCAATCAGTCTCCGTGTCATGATTTGGGGGCTGGCAGTTCAAGAGAGCCTGCCACAGATACAGGCTCACATTCGAGTCCACTACTCCACCTTTGGTGTCCCAATTTTATCTTAAGCCCCAACCCCCTCAATAGGGTATGTAACAGAGTTAATGAATATACCTCTTAGTACAAAGTGCCTGGCCCATTTTGGAACTCAATAAACAAAAGGTGTATATGAAAGGCAACCCTTCTTTGTTATTCCCATGGTACCTTTGTACATGGCAATCGACACTTTGTCAGCCCTTTACAGGGCTATAGGACAACACTGGAAAAAGCCACCTCTCACAACACCTGGCACATGAACGTTCAGCTACCAGTCACGTCTACCTCCTGACGTAGACGTGCTGCCGCCTCCTCCATTATCAGCTTAATTTGTCCTCTCCTGAACTCTTTACCTACCTAAAAAGTCTGTCAGTGAAAACCAACCAGGCTAACACACAACTTCTCCTATAAAACTTTACCCAAAATAAAAAAATAATCTAGCTTCTATCTTCAGAAAGATCTGATATTTGATACCAACTAAGCGCGTACAAACTTGAAGCTCTGGCCTGGTGTTGGTGGTGCACGCCTTTAATCCCAGCACTAGAGAGGCAGAGGCAGGCGGATCTCTGTGAGTTCGAGGCCAGCCTGGTCTACAGAGAGAGTTCCAGGACAGCCTCCAAAACAACACAGAGAAACCCTGTCTCAAAAAAAAACAAAACAAAACAAAAAACCCGTGAAGCTCTGGCAGTCCACTCACTTGGTGCACTCTTCTAAGGTCTGCACGAGCACTTGCTGGAAGGAAGAGATTTCCTCTAGATTTCCCAGTAAATACGAAGTGTTTGCCGAACTCAACCTGAGGCCAGGAAAGACAAGGGCACGAGACTGTCAGTGGTCTGATATGTGTCCTGATTCCCCAGCATGAAGCCCGCAACCTAGTGAACACAATGCTGTGCCCAAGGCACGCTGGCACTCAGAGCAGTCTCTAGCCAACCTACTTCTCGCTGGTCTGCAGTGGCCGCAGGTAGGTGGAGAGCAGAGACTGCAGCTCCTTAGAATATTCATGCTCTGTTTCTAGGATATTCTGTAGCACCTGCAATAAATGATAAACCACCGTTGTCATTCACGTAACTACAAGAGTTATTTGCCATAATTTATAAACTTTAGCAAGTTTATCACCATTATTCATCACATTTTGTTGCTTGCATTAATACACATTTAGTCCTTTGTAATTATTAGCTACTAATCCTACATAATAAATTATTAAGGCCAGCCCAGAAGTCTGACTTCATCATATGACAACAGGTATGCCTAGTTGAGTGAGAGCACATTCCATCCTTGGACACAGAAGGCAAGGTGAACCTGAATTACAAAGGGCAGACTCGGACAGTCTCGGAGTGCTGACGGACTGATATGCCTCTAAATGCTGGGTAATGCAGAAAAGGCCGTCACCAAGTACTGCACGCAAATCCACTTAGGCTGTCTAAGAGCAGGAAGCTAACTACAATGACACAGATCGGGGGTGCCGGTACGACCAGATGGTGAGTGTGCTGGTGACAAGCTGGCTCTGTGCTCTAACTGGGCATGGGGTTACACATTTGTTGAAGCTCACTGAACTATATACAACCTGTTCTTTCTTGTATGCAGCTGGACATCCCTAAGCAAAGCAGCACCCCCCCCCAAAAAAAAACCAAAGTGACCAAGAACCTTAAGCTTTTTGAGCTCTCTCAGGATTCTCAGACTTTGAGCTCTCTCAGACGTCTTAGACTTTGAACCATTTCAGAGTTTGAGTTAAAGAACATTCAACCAGTAAAGTCTATGTAAATATGCCCAAACCCCCAAACTCCAAAACCTGACAAAGTTCTGGTTCCAAGCACTTAGATAATGGACACAGCCTGCCTGTAAAACATATCTCAAGTCCACGACTTTACTCTTTAGCCAATGGTTCTCAACCTGTGGGTCACAACCCACTAGGGACAAACAACCCTTTCACAGAGGTTGCTATTAGATATCCTGCATATCAGATATTTACATTACTATTTATAACAGTAGCAAAATTACAGTTATGAAGTAGCAATGAAAATAATTCTATAGTTGGGGGTCACCATGACATGACATGAGGAACTATATTAAAGGGTCGCAGCATTAGGAAGGTTGAGAACCTCTGCTTTAGACTGAGTTTAAATAAACTTGTGGGAAGCAGGGACTTTCGTTAGACTCTGTGATGTTTTAGACCATTCCACACACAACATATATTGAAGATGAAAGGCCAATCAAAGAGCCTTTATATAGACATCCATTCCTCTTAAAGATAACAGAGTAATTATAAAAATAAAATCTTCCCAAATAGCTTACACACAATTTAGCAAAGACTAGTAAACTCCTAAAATTTCCAGATAAAGAGTACCAAACAGACCAGCTTAAACAAATGCTTCCCACCGAAAACCACCAACACCATAGCCACCTGACCAAGCAGGACAGAAAGTGTGGACTTCCCACAGGCCAGGGGCCACAAGCACTGCTGCCAACACACCTGTCCCCTTGTGCCTAGCATCTACTCAGGTACAGCAGTCTTAATCCCTGCAAAAACATGTCCTTTATCTAAGCCTGACAGGCAGACCTGTCATCTCAGCTACTCAGAAGGCCAAGGCAGGAAAATTACAAATGCAAGATCTGCTTGGCCTATGAGGCAAGTTCAAGAACAGCATGAGCAGCATGGGCAAATAGCATAAACAGTTTCCAAATAACTGGGGGAGGGGAGGGAGAGGGGTGAGGACGGGAGGGAAGGGCAAATTGAGAACATAATCCCTGGCACCCCTAGTCACTGGGATCAATACCAGGAGGCCTCCCCACCCCATACATACACATAAAGTTTCCTTTTCAAAGCAGTTAGCTCCTTCCATACTGGACCCTGGAGACTGCAGAGCCAAAACCTAACAGTGGGTCCTTCCGTCACCAGCACCACAGGGCAGTTCCGGGTCCAAAAGGGAGCAATCAGAGCTCTACAGGGCCCCCATCAGAGAGGGAAGTCCCTTCCCGGCCCTTCCCATCCCTACCACAGGGCTGTTTGAGCTAGGTCACAGTGAGGGCTTTCTGAGCACTTCCTGAATGCTATGTACTACTGCCTCACAAAGCCATACACGCCCACTTCACACACGGATGCAGGGGGCCAAGAGAGCATCCCTGCCCACCAACTCACACACGGATGCAGGGGGCCAACACAGCATCCCTGCCCACCAACTCACACACGGACTGCAGGGGGCCGAGAGAGCATCCCTGCCCACCAACTCACACACGGATGCAGGGGGCCGAGAGAGCATCCCTGCCCACCAACTCACACACGGACTGCAGGGGGCCGAGAGAGCATCCCTGCCCACCAACTCACACACGGATGCAGGGGGCCGAGAGAGCATCCCTGCCCACCAACTCACACACGGACTGCAGGGGGCCAAGAGAGCATCCCTGCCCACCAACTCACACACGGATGCAGGGGGCCGAGAGAGCATCCCTGCCCACCAACTCACACACGGACTGCAGGGGGCCAAGAGAGCATCCCTGCCCACCAACTCACACACGGATGCAGGGGGCCGAGAGAGCATCCCTGCCCACCAACTCACACATGGATGCAGGGGGCCGAGAGAGCATCCCTGCCCACCAACTCACACACGGACTGCAGGGGGCCGAGAGAGCATCCCTGCCCACTTCACACACGGATGCAGGGGGCCGAGAGAGCATCCCTGCCCACCAACTCACACACGGACTGCAGGGGGCCGAGAGAGCATCCCTGCCCACCAACTCACACACGGACTGCAGGGGGCCAAGAGAGCATCCCTTTTGGATTTCTTTTTTCCTTTTTTTTTTTTAATTTTATTTATTGTGTATACAGTCTTCTGCCTGCAGGCCAGCAGAGGGCACCAGATCTCATTCAAGGTGGCTGACAGCCACCATGTGGTTGCCAGGAATTGAACTCAGGACCTCTGGAAGAACAGTCAGTGCTCTTAACCGCTGAGCCATCTCTCCAGCCCCCCTTTTGGATCTCTGACCGATTTTTGAGAATCTAAACAGGTTTAAACCCTTCGGCCTTCATATGCACCATCTGATGGCTCTTGAGTTCAGCACTGGCTCTGTGAGCTCTAGGAGCCCCCGTAGATGAAGTGTTAAGCAACTTACACACTCACCCCCAAGAAGAAACGCCACAGACTCTGTCTCTGCTGATGCACAACTCTCTTCATCATGAATAGACTTATTCATGGGGACAGCTGGGAGACAGCCAGGAAGAGGGGGGACCATGCAGGGAGTTCATTCCTTTGTGGGGAAATCTGGATGCTGCACCCACAATGACAATGTCCTCCTAACACACTCACTGACCCAAGCGTCGAAGGCCTGGTGACAGAAGCACATTATGACCCCAGACACAGTTCTCAAAGAGCATCGGGAGAAGAGGGAGCCACCACCAGCCTTGGGTCTAAAGAGACGTGGCAGCACAGGCAGAAGCGACTGCTGAGACCTTGGCGGACGCCACCCTCAGAAACCTAGCACATACCCCTACGGTGATGGGCAAAGGAAAAGCACAACTAGTGTCATGGTGCAGAGACCCCAGGACACAGCAGCTTCCTCAGCCACACCCTGAGCAGAGACAGACACGTCAACACTTCCCGAAAGAACACCAGGAAACAGTTCCACAGCAGCCAAGTTCACTCCACTGCTCCACTCCAACCACTGCCTGGTAGCACATGTAACTTTCAGGCCATTCCGCAATGCTCCCCAGTGTTGGCAGAAGCACGTGTACACACGTACACACACACACACACACACACACACACACACACACACACACTTACTCACCCACTCACACCAGTGCCTAACCCTCACCCAGGAGGCTTGTGTGCTTCTGACCGGGGCAGCCCCATCACCCTTCCTGGCCTGAGCCTGTCAGTCATTAGCCTCACCTCTCTTCCTCTCCGAGCCTCAGGCACACGGTGGCTGCTGCAGGACCCCATGGACCTCACCCCAGCTTCCACAGCGCCATCACACCATGACTTCCCGGGAACCAAGAGTACAGCGCGTTCAGGGAGATGAGACCCACAGTGCTGAAGAAAGCCAAAGGAAAGACCCCAGCGGCATGGCTGGCTCTGAGTCACGAGACAGAGCTGTCCAGTCATACAACAGTGCCACACAGGAGGGCGGGCACCCTCAGCAGCCACACACGATCCTCAGACTTTCTGCCTTGAAACAAAGCAACTCAAGAGGGACTGACTCCCACTCCATACAGACACATACACTCGCCCTCGCCAACGCTGACTGGAGATGCCCTGTGTATAAAAATGACTGATCTACAGAGCTAGAGGTAGTATTCAGCGGCAGAATGTTTGTCTGGTATGTGTGGGGTCCTAGGCTCCATCCTCCACACTGTAAGGTTCAAATGTCTTCAGAACGACTGACTTCATGTAAGAACTATAAAATATTCCAAATGTTTGCAATAGAACCCTAGTTAGTACACACTGGAAAAGTGAAACGGCACAGCTGTCCTAACCGTCTTCCAGCTGCCAGCCATGCCACCACAGACCACAGGTATCTGCTCTTTTGTTTGTATGTTTGTGTAAGAGTGTGCACGGAAGCACAGATGTGCACAGGTGTACAGGTGTGCACGGGTGTACAGGTGTGCAAGTGTAGGCATGGGTATACAGGTGTGCGAGTGTATGCATGGGTGCGCAGGTGTGCAAGTGTAGACATGGGTATACAGGTGTGTGAGTGTGTGCATGGGTGTACAGGCGTGCAAGTGTAGGCATGGGTATACAGGTGTGCGAGTGTGTGCATGGGTGTGCAAGTGTGCAAGTGTAGACATGGGTATACAGGTGTGTGAGTGTGTGCATGGGTGTACAGGTGTGCGAGTGTAGACATGGGTATACAGGTGTGTGTGCATGGGTGTACAGGTGTGCAAGTGTAGGCATGGGTATACAGGTGTGTGAGTGTGTGCATGTGTGTACAGGTGTGCAAGTGTGGACACGTGTGCACGTGGAGGCAAGAAGTTAGCACTCAGGAGTCTTCCTCAACCACTCTGCATTCTAACTTTTTGAGAACCTGGAACTCACAGATTCACTTAGTGAGCTCTAAGGAACACCCATCTCACCTCCCAGACACTCGTCTGGCTTCTGCGTGAATGCTGGAAATTCGAATTCAGGCCCTCGCAGGCACTTAGGCTGAGACATCTCCCCACACCCAGTCCAGTCTATCCAAATTTTCAAAATGTAACCTGCAAAGTTTGACTCCAGTCATAATTCAGCTTCTGACGAGCGGCACCTAGTGCCCTGTGAGCAAGAAAATGGTGGTGAAGGGAGCAGCTACCGACCTCCTGCTAGCGTAACCCTAAAGGTCACAGGACTCAAGAGGCCTGCCCTGGTATTATTGGTTCAATCGTCTGATGGCCAAACTTAATTGTCAGCCTGACAGAATCTAGACTCTTCTGGGAGTTGAGCTTTGGGGCATGCCCATGGGAACAGCTGGTTGGGTCCAGGAGGTGGGAAGACTGCCCATTGTGGGTGGCATCACTCCCTGAGCCACGATCCCAGGCTGTGTAAGGAGGACTGAGCTGGGCACAAGCAGACACAGCTCTCTTTTTCCTGAGGACACGTGACTAGCTGCTCCATCGCCTGCCTTCTCCACCACGAGGGCTGTGACCTGACACTGCGAGCCAAAATAAAGCCTTCCTTAAGTTGCTTTTGTCAGGCTCTTACCACAGCAACAGGAAAAGAAAAGTCTTGGTTTACATTTGCCTTTAATAAACCTCTTGACATCTAGGGCCTACTTAGCTGGCAGGCAAGTGTGCTTTAATATCTGCCTTTTAAAACAAAGTTTTACTACAACATACCCCTAACCCAGGACTCTACAAGGTTTGGAAGAAACATTTCTTCCAAATGTTAGACATTTACCAGAGAAGGGGCTGAAGAGCTGGCCCAGAGGTTAAGAGCACTGGCTGTTCTCCAGAAGACCTGAGTTCAATTCTCAGCACCACATGGCAGATCACAACTCTCTGTAGTTCTTGTTTCAGGGCATCCAACACACGCACACAGACATACATGCAGGCAAAACACCAATGCACACAAAATAAAAATAAATTATTTTAAGCCGGGCGTTGGTGGCGCACGCCTTTAATCCCAGCACTCGGGAGGCAGAGGCAGGCGGATCTCTGTGAGTTCGAGGCCAACCTGGTCTACAGAGCGAGTTCCAGGACAGCCTCCAAAACAATACAGAGAAGCCCTGTCTCGAAAAATAAATAAATAATTTATTTTAAAAGCAAATAAGCATTAAAAGAAATTCACCAGAAAAAAAAAATGGGTCCAAACAATCCATGTGCAAACAGTAGTCTGCAGGAACTCACACGCCCACACCCCTCAGCACTGTGCAGAGTGAAGACCCAGGCACACCTGTACTCCAACCGTGGCTCAGCCACTTACTGTCTGGGACAACCCAGGCGCACGCTTCCTTATAAAAAGGAGTTGTTGGGGAAGTCCTGTTATTTGCCTGTGCATTTGTCAATAAAGTACTGTCTGGCCAATAGAAAACCTAGATAGGAGGGACTAGGAGTTGAGGAGGATTCTGGGAAGGGGAAACACAAGAGAGTCAACATGTGACGCCATGGGGGTAGGACGCCGGGAACTATTCTCCGGTAAGAAACATACTTAGATTAACAATTATGGGGTAATTACTTAAGGCAGAGCTAGCCAGTAAGAGACAAACAAGGCCAACAGCTTCATAATTAATATAGCCTCCTATGTGTTTATTTGGGACTCATGCGGATCTAGAACCAGGCTGGCGTGGCAGAGCCCAGGCGACTGGCGGGGGATATACCAAATCGGCAAGCAAGGAAAAAGCTTCTCTTAACAAGGAGTCTTCCTAAGTTATGACAATTCTGACTTTAGGAAGCAAGAAGTGCTACACACCCACCTACCACTGCACCCAGCCTGCCAGGACCACAACCCAGAGGGAGGCTCTCTCTGAGGGTCTTCAGCATCCCAGGGTTAGATAACTCAGACACTGTTCTTCACTATGCTGATTTCCCGCTGCCACCTCAAACTAGAGCCTGTGTCATCAGGACCCACATGAAACAAGCAGTTACTTAACAACAGGGAGAAAATCTGTTGAGGAGCTGGCAGGGGGCCCCCCCTTCCACAAAACTGTGGACAGGACACAGGAAGTGGGGCACTCCCAGGAGAGCCAGGCGTCACACTGCAGGCCTCCCCAAGCTTGTGTGTCAGGCGCCCACCGTCACAGGATGAGGACGCCCTTCACCGTCACAGGGTGAGAACGCCCTTCACTGGCTTATGTCTGTCAGGCACCCACCGTCACAGGGTGAGAATGCCCTTCACCGTCACAGGGTGAGAACGCCCTTTACTGGCTTATGTCTGTCAGGTGCCCACCGTCACAGGGTGAGAACGCCCTTCACTGGCTTATGTTGAAAGCTTAGTCCCAGTGGCTGGAACTGTTTGGGAAGGGTCAGGAGGTGTGGCCTAGGTGGAGGAGTATCACTGGGTGGCAGGCTTTGCGGTTACAAAAGCCATGCCATCCCCAGTTAGTGTCTGCTCTCTCCTGTCCCTCACTCTCATCCCCCTTCCCCCTTTGGGGTCAGCTGCAAGCTCTCAGCTACTGCTCTAGCGCTGTGTCTGCCTGGTTGCTGCTACCATGAAAACCAGACTCCAGCCCTTTGGAACTGCGAGCCCTAGCAAATGTTTTACTTTATAAACTGTCTTGGTCGTAGTGTCTCTTCACAGAAATAGAAAACTAAGACAAGGGATAGAAAGGACATCATGATCAAAATGAAAGGCAAAAGGTCAGATGAAGCAAACCCTGGGCCAACAGTGCCGGCCACTCTCTTCTGTGGCCCAGCACTGAAGAGGTGCAGGGAACAGAGGTCAAGCCCGATGCAGCCGGGAGCGCAGGAGAAAGCGCAGGAGAAAGCACAGGAGAAAGCGCAGGAGAAAGCGCAGGGTGTCTGTCAGCTTCCAAGGATGCGTGTCTACTGTAACCAGTGACCGTTGCCCATCACTCAGTTTGTGTAAGCACGTCAAGGAAAACGTCACCCTGCCTTCCTGCGGTAGTCGGCATGGACAGTTACTTCCTTTCACAACACAACAGCTAAGGAGAAAGGGAGGCTGTTAGATGAGCAGCCTCCAGGGATGATGAACTGGGACACACACAAGACTGCTGGCACCTCAGAGCAGGGCACCCAAGTCCCTATTGGACCCTACTGCGAAAGATGCCTGCCATCACTGTCAGGAGCCACCAAGTTCAGTTCAGGCAGCAGTCCTGTCACAGGCATGTCCCTTATAATTGCATGGTCCAGTCACTGGACTAAGACCTCAGGGGCATCCTAACAAGTGACCAGAAGACTTGCTGGCAAACAGAATGGCACCATGGCCTTAGCCATGTGTTCTGTTCCCAGAGTTTCTAAATGTGCCTCCTAGTCCCACAGAAACCTGTATGGCACTTTACCAGGCTCTGAAGGCTAATCACAAATTCTCTTCACATTACAAGGTTAGTACCAGCAATTATCAGCCCCATATTGTAGGTCAAGTCACTGCTCAGGCCACCAGCAGCTCATCTCCCAACCACTCCATGGCTAAGCAGCAAGGACAATTCGAGCAGGGACATGTATCCCTTCCAGTGAACCACACTATCAGAACCTCAGCAAGGCTGCCGACATCTGGGTACCCAGTAGAAAGCTGAGTGCACACCATGGAGGCTAACTTCAGGCGCAGGCCCCCAAGTGCCTCCACAGGAACATGAATGGCCTTCTGACAGCTGACAGCACTTACACTAGTCTGAATCTACCCAGGCAGCTAAGACTGGCAAACAGAGAGGAGGGAAGTCAAGGGCACCACACTGAATACTGTCTTTACTGTCCAGAATCTAAGGCAGTCATTGTCAACCCGTAGGCGACCCCTTTGGGAGTTGAACAGCCCTTTCACAGGGGTCTTCTAAGACCATCAGAAAACACAGATATTTACATTCCAATCCAACAGTAGCAAAATGACAGTTATGAAGTAGCAACACAAATAATTTTATGGTTAGGATCTCCATGACATGGGGAACTGTATTAAACTGTCCCAGCATTAGGAAGGTTGAGAAGCACTGGTCTAGGCCCTGTTAATACAGACACAGTAGTCTCAAGAAAGACAAGAGCAATAGACAAAATAACCCAGGACCTGCAAAGCTGAGGTCTGTCTAACCCACTCCAACCAGTCCTATTGGCACCTGAAGCATGGAAGAATTCTACGTCGGGCACTATGTCCTTTAAAAGTTTACTTTTAGACATCCGATAGATAGTCAGAGCATCACACAGTGACAAGAAGTGAGACAATCCAACACACTAGACACTCCCTCTAGGACACCAGAGCTGTCTCTCTGCAACAACTGCCTTCACATCTATGGGCATCTGAGGAGCTCGCTGTCCTGCGGTTACTCACCACGTTGTAATAGCTCTTGTTGATGGCAGTCGTGTCGAACCCTTTGGGGGGGCTCTTCAAGGTTCCTGATTTGGGTGACACAGGCTTCTCTGGAATAAAAAAAATAGAAGGAAGCTTTATTGATCAATGCCAAGACGAGTCGACTCCTCTCACAGCAGGACTCCCACAGAGCCTCACCTGAACACAGCCAGGGAAGGGGAAGAAAGAGCCTTGCACAGCCGCTAAAGAGCAGACCTCTCTCAGGCCAGATGCCCCAGATCACAGTGCCACCACCCCATTCTCCCCGAGCATCTGAGAAATTACGCTTAGGATTCAGCTATACACACAGCTTCACAGGGTCCCAGAGAATGTCATCGGGTATATGCACCACGGCCCACAATTCTGGGGAATGCCCCACGATCAAATGGTGGCAGGTGACAGGATCTCCAGAGAGACAGGGAGGAAAGGAAAGGCGAGCTAAGCAAAGCTAAGACAGCCCTCACAGCCTGACCGCCGCCTGGGCCTACAGTGCACCTCTGAATGGTCCAAACTGGCACTGCTGTCATTGGACACCACCCCCAGACCCCACTCTCTATTGGGAAGTGGCTCTGAGCAATCCATCTGTCTGAATCTAGCAGTGGTTCCATGGGTGTGCCTGTCTGTTACTTTCCCTACAGGATGGGTAGGTCTACCTACCAGTTTCTTTTTTTCTTTTTTTCTTTTTTTGTTTTACGAGACGTGGTTTCTCTGTATTGTTTTGGAGGCTGTCGGTCCAGCCCGGCCTCGAACTCACAGAGATCCGCCTGCATCTGACTCCCGAGTGTTGGGATTAAAGGCATGGGCCACCAATGCCCAGCTCCTACCACAGTTTCTATTGGTGTGTGTGGTAGGGGGATCCCACTGGGTCTCAGGGGTGATGGGCTGTGATAGAGGGGCTGCCTACTGTTGCTTGGGGTGACTGAGTGGAATGTGTCATCTAACATTGACACAGCTGGTTCTCTGGGGCAGGATGTCGATTCAGGCTGGTGGGAATAAAGGTAGGGAGACACATTCCCACATTTTCATCCCCGACACTCAGATGAGCATTTCCTGGGGAATGCAGGTCCCACATCCTCCACATCCCTTGCCTCGCCAGAATAAGCATGCTGTGTGAATTCTGGTCGCTGAGTAGCAGGATCCTGTCCCTCTGTGTGTGCGGTGACACCTGTCCAGCCCCTGGCTCTGCTCTTCACCAACCAGCACCGCACAGCACCAGGCTCTGGGACTACTCCACAGCCAACACTCCCAGGCCGCACACAGGCCCTAGAACAGGCCACTGCCTGTCTGGCATCTCTTGTGTCTTCTCGGCCACCACAGGAGCCCACAATGCCCAAACCAAACTCATGGTCTTAACCTTGGGTCCCCACTACGGGGTCGCTTGCCTAAATCTTCATGCAATGCCTCTCTGTCAAGTTTTCCCCGTAGTTAAAATAAAGACCAGAAGGTCTTCTTTCCAGTTGGAAGACCTCTGCCTACAGGGTGGAAAACAGCCCCATGGAAAACAAGTCACTTCTAAGCAAAGTGGCCAGGAACTCCAACGCTTCTGGCTGAGACGGGTTCCTTCCACACTGAGACCTGGCCTGGGGAGCTCACTGCAGAAGAGTCAACTGTATCGGTGGAAGCTGTGATTTAAACCCAGAAAACCTGAGAGGTGGGTGACGACACAAAGTCATAAAGTATGGTCACTGAAAGCCACCAATTCTGAACCGCCTGTGAAAAACGGGCATGCGTGCGTGCATGCATGCACACTGACAACGTGTGTGTGTGTGTGTGTGTGTGTGTGTGTGTGTGTGTGTGTGTGTGTGTGCGCGCGCGCATGAGCACTGACGACCTAGCACAGGAAACAGCAAAGCAATGAATTTACAAGTTCTCTTATTTACACCTCAGAAGTCACCACCTAGTCAATGAAATTCAGTATTTACTATGAGAACTAGGAAAAAGTTTTCACAAAGCAGTTCCAGGTCATAACTTAACAAACGAGAGGCAGAAAGCAGCAGCAGCAGAGTAAGTCTACCCTCTCTTCTCCCTCTATGGACGGCTACGGGGCACAGGGAGCACAGAAAGTCTGTCACTGTGTGCCCTAGCACATCAAAAGCCAGCTCTCCATAGCAAAGGCCCTGAGCTCCCATGGCCAGGGAGGCTGCAGCCAACCTCACAGGACCTCTGCTAAGAGAAGACTAGTCTATATCCAGAGAGGCCAAGAGCCACTGCTCACTCCAAACACAAACGTGCCAGCACACCCGGTATCAACAGAGACGTGTGTGTGAAAGGAGCTTCCCAAAGGGTGCAGAGCTCACAGCACTCCTGGGGGGTGAGGCAGACTCATCTTGGCCCCAGTACAATAACCCAAACAGGGTCTGTTTTAGTGACAAGCGATGCTGAAAACAGCTGTGCTGCTTCTACCCACTGGCCCAGAGACTGCGGGAGGACTCTGAGCACACACAGCAGAAGGGGGTAATCACCTAAAAGCAGCTTGCCAAGTATGCGACTCCAGAAGCAAACCTGGATTGTAAGTACTTCAACAATGGCTTCTGTTAGAAAAGCCTAGGTCGCCCCTAGAATGGTCATGTGGCCACTTAGCACAGCCATGCTGACCACACATGGCGTGGGCCTTCACATTCATTCAGTAACAGTAAAGCCAGCGCCACTAGCCCTAGAACCTCCTGCTTCTCTCCTCCCTTCCCCTGAACTGAGGGAGTTCCCTGGTAAATGCCTGTGTGTGTCAAATCACACACACCACCTGCACAGATAAAACAGTAAAAATCTGTACATATTACACACCCAAAATGGTGCACAGGAAATAAAAGCCTCATAACAACTACGCACCTTCCGGAGCACTGCACATACCAAAATTGCAGGCAGTATAGTATGCCAATTAAACTCCAATTAACACTTCTTCCAGACTCCTGGAAGGTATCTATGCTGGTCAGTTTTTTGTCAACTTGACACAAATTAAAGTCATCTGGGAAGAATGAATCTCATTAAAGAAACTACCTCCCGTCAACAGGGCAAAACAGCAGCCTACAGAACAAGAAAAGATCTTTACCAACCCTGTATCTGACCGAATGCAGAATTTCAAAATATATAAAGAACTCAAGAAACTTGGTATCAACAAACCAAATAATCCAATTAAAAAATGGGGAACAGATATACAGAGAATTCTCAACAGAAGAATCTCAAATGACCGAGAAACACTTAAGGAGATGCTCAACATCCTTAACCATCAGAGAAATGCAAATCAAAACGACTCTGATATTCCATCTTACACCTGTCAGAATGGCTAAGATCAAAAATACAGGTGATATCTCATTCTGGAGAGTATGTGGAGTAAGGGGAGCACTCCTCCATTGCTGGTGAGGGTGCAAACTATACAGCGACTTTGGAAGTCAGTGTGGTGGTTCCTCAGAAAACTGGGAATCAACTTACCACAAGATCCAGCTATACCCAAAGGATGCTCAATCATAGCTCAAGGACACCTGCTCAAATATGTTCATAGCAGCTCTATTTGTAATAGTCAGAACTTGGAAAAAAACTAAATGCCCCTCTACCAAGGACTGAATAAAGAAAATGTGGTGCATTTTTACAGAGGAGTATTATTCAGTTGTTAAAAACAGGGACACCAGGAAATTTGAAAGCAAATGGACAGACTAGAAAAAAAATCATCTTGAGTGATGTAACCCAGACCGATAACATGGTATGTACTCACTCCTAAGTGGATAATTAGCTGTAAAGGTTAACTAACTATGTTACAATCCACAGACTCAGAGACACTGGGTAGCAAGGAGAGTTCATGGGGGAATGACCAGATCTCCCTGGAAAGGAGAAAGAGAAGAGATTCCATGAGTAGACTGAGGGCAGGTGGGAGGGATGGAAACATGAGCAATCAGGTTGTGGGGTTAGAGGGGGGAGAATACTAAGAGGGACTGCTGGGGGTGGAGGGTCTCAGGGTTGGGTGGAAATCTGACACAGGGAAATCTATCTGAAGTCTATAGGGAGTACCCGAGGTTAAACTCCTAGCAACTGTGCCTAAGTAGCCTGAACTGAACATCTCCTTTGACCAGATTGGTGCCTGGTCAAATTATTATCAAAGAAGTATCATCCAGTAACTGATGGAAACAGATGCAGAGACCCACAACCAAATATTAGGCAGAGTTTGGAAATTCTACAAAGAAGGAAGAGAAAGAATTATAGAAGTCAGAGGGGTCAAGGACACAATCAACTAAGCTGGGCTCACTGGAGCGCACAGAGACTGAACTAGGCGCTCAGCATACATGTTACAGTTGTGTAGCTTGGTCCTCTTGTGGGATTCCTAACAGTGAAAACAAGGGCTGTCTCTGACTCTTTTACTGGCTTTTGGGACCCTACTTCTCATACTGGATCACCTTGCCCGGTCTCAATACATGGGGAGGAGCTTAAGTCTTACTGCAGCTTGATAACGCCATGTTTTGACACATGAGAAACCTGTCCTTTTCTGGATGGAGACAGAAAGAGGAGGGGGGACAGGGAAGAAGGGCTGGGAGGGAGGATGAGGGGCTGCAGCCGAGACATAAAACAAATAGATGAATTTAAAGAAAAGAAAGTGCCTCCATCCAGTGAGTAAGCAATGCTCTTCAATGGCTACTGCTTCAATTCCTGCCACCAGATCCCTGCCCTGACCTCCCTGAAGGTGGCTGTGATGGGACAATGAGCTCACAGCTCTTTACCTGAGGTGCATTTGGTCTTGGTCTTTATCACAGCAACAGAAAGCAAACGAGGACAGTGCCTGTGTTCAGTGAAGAGCTATTCAAAACAGGCTGTGCAGAGGCCATACGCATCAACAGCAAATGTGACAAGAACATTTCCCAGTCACACCACAAGAGGGAAGCAGTCAGTGGCTACTATCCTTTCCCAGAGACTCAAAAGGGTGGAGAGAAAACCCCTCTCAGAAGCAGCCTTTGGCTTCTGTGTTTGCATAAAAGCTATAAATTAAACAAAAAGAGAATGAAAAAGAAAAAGGTTCAGCCAAGGGGATGGACTCCAGCTTTTGTTCAGTGAGGAATAGCTCTCATGGGATAAGTCAGAGGCACCTTCAAATGAGTGGTTTTATTCTCAGAAAACTAAGCACCGACTCTGCTATAAATTCAAAAAGGAATCCCATCCCACAATTAGAATACCACATAAACTACTAGAAAATACAATGCCAAAATGTAACTGTCATCCTAGGATTTTATCCTGGATTGCTGGCTATAGAGACTGAATTTCTTTTTAAATGTGTTTTCATACCATTATGCCTGAACTACCAACATTTAGAATTAGACTGGCTTAACTGTCTTAGTCAGCTCATATTAGGAGACGATTGTAGACAGGCGCTACTTCCAAGAGGCTATCCCCCTGTCTCACTGCCAGACAGAGGACATTCAGCATAACACTGATACACAAAACTGGGGTATTTCCTATATTTTTTTAAAAACTGAAAGTTTTCCAAACAAAGCAAGTTAGGTCTCACTTTGGCACAGAAACTATGAAGTCAACTAGTCTCCTAGAAAAAAAGCACTCTTGAAGAGGTTGTACTGTGGATTAAACTTGGGCCCATACATGTTAAGTAAACTCAGGCACTGAGCCACATCCCCAGTTACATCTCTGATCCAATGAAGCCTGGATTCAACTTTAAACTGGCACAGGGACGCATACTCAGAAACAGAGAGCAAACTTAAGAACAGGGTGGGGTGGGGGAGTGCACGGCATACCACACAGCATGAAAGTATATCTAGAGGTCAGGTCAAGAGCGCTCGCGCGCTCTCTCTCTCTCTCTCTCTCTCTCTCTCTCTCTCTCTCTCTCTCTCTCTCTCTCTCTCTCACACACACACACACACACACACACGCTCGCTCGCTCTCACACACACACACACAAACACGCTCTCTCTCTGTCTCTCTCACACACACACATACATGCGCGCGCTCTCTCTCTCTCTCACACACACACACACACACACATACCCCACACCTATCTAGTGGCATTTCTTGTGCAAGGTGAACTGGAAAGACCTGAGAAGTAAAAATTTCACGGGACACTCCTACTACATCTACTCAAAGTAGAAAGAACAGAGACAGCCACAAACCTAAGTACCTCTCACAGGACCAGTCTCCACTTCCAACGGACCCTGCTTACAGCATGAGGGACCCGGCCCTAATAGCCCTGCCAATGACATCTCTTTACTTTTCATCTTAATCAAGTTCAACAGGAAAGCAAGATGAAACATGCACGCACGCACACGCGTACACACATGTGCATGCAGGCACACAACCTGCCCTAAGTCCCTTGAAAATGAGCAGCAGTCTTTATGGGGCTGCTTCTTGACACAAGCGGTGACACACCTACAGGAGCGAAACCAAGCAGAGCCTGTGTCAGGAAGGACAGCACCGAGTCTCGGGAACAGAGAGAACCTCTACTGGGCCCCAAGTCGCTGGGTTACAGGACTTTACAGCCTTGCCCTGCATGGACCCAACCACTAGCCCCAGAGAACTTCCAGGTCCAAGACACAAATCACAGCTGAGCAACAAGAAATGGGCTGAAGGCTGCTGTGCACTTTCAAGAAGAGTGTACATCCTTCAAAGATCTGTCATGAGCAAAGTGTCAATCACAGGAAAATCAACACACTTTCATAGACTAAATGGTGAAAGTACTGGCCTGTGCCTAACTGGCAAATAAATAAATAAATCTATAGTAGTAAAAAAAATACAGCCTAGCATAGGCCATAAAAAAGCACAAATTATATTATAATATAAAGCATAATGGCAACAATAAAAAAGAGCAGATGACTGTAGACCTGGCTACTGAGAAGGTTGAGGCAGGAGGATCACTTGAGCTCAGGGGTTCCAAGGCTGCCTGGGCAACATGTTCACAGACTTGTGTCTCAAACAGTGAGAGACAACAATTACCAGACCTAATAAGTTGTTCCTAGGAAAATGTCATGATGTGATGTAAAGTCAGTTTGTAATGATGGGGCCTTTACCCAGCATCCCAATGTGCAAGAAAGGATACAGGATAAAAGCTCACTCCACTCAACTGAAGACGCCATGCTGCGCTCAATGGAGAGCAGGCACTCGGGACCCTACAACATCCACTCTCTTTGGCTCCCCTCCCGCTGTCACGTTTACCACTCACCACTTGGCTTGATCTCACGCACGTAGTTGCTGGGGAACCAGCCGGTCCTGCCACTGTGCGTGCCCTCCCACCAGCCTCCTTCCTCCACTCGTGTGACATGGATGACGTCGCCCTTCGTGAAGGAGAGCTCATCTTCATTGGTCTGCTGGAAATTAAACTTGGCTCGCACTACCAGTTGGCTGTTGCTATTATCAGTCATGTCCTAGAAGACAGGTGGGGAGGAGGGGAGAAACAGCCATGAGGAACGGTCTACTTCCTACAAAAGAGTTACATTCCACTGCCACAAGAACAGTCACAACATTATTATAAGTGCTCCAAACATCCAAACAGCAGGAGAGCGCCAGGCATGGTGGCGCAAGCCTTCAGTTCCAGCACGGATGCAGAGGGGCCGGGGACAAAGCAGCGGAGAGGCGGAGGGGCAGAGAGGCGGAGGGGCAGAGGCGGGGAATCTCTTGGTCTACACAGTGAGTTCCGGGCCAGTCAACACTACAAAGTAAGACCCTATCTCAAAAATAAACAGCGGGAAAATATCTTAAATACAGAAACAGAAAGCTTCCCATCTCCCTGTGCACCTTGACCACTGTCAGGTCATAGTCCAGGAAGGCACTCTATACCACCCCTAACCACACACAGAGTCTGTCTCTCACAGTCTGCCTCTCTGTGTGTCTCTGTCGCTGTCTCTGTCTCTGTCTCTCTCTCTCTCTCTCTGTCTGTCTCTCTCATACACTCACACACACTAACACACCTGGATGCAATCAGTGTGCCTGTCTCTACCTTGAAAACTAATCTCAATGCTGTAGTCTTGTTTCCAAGTAGCTAATACCATACTGTACACTTGCACCACTAATTTTAGGTTGTTCCCAGTATCTGCCTATGAGCTGCATGCAACGTTTCTCTTATCTTGCAAAGGCTCCACTAAGAATATTTGCATATCCATTTTTATTGTGAATATAACTAAGTCTTTATGTTAAATTCTGGTCCTGGGACATGTGTAACACATCTAAACTTTAATAGATACTTCTAAACTTATCTCCCAGAAAACTCTACACACTTACACCAAGCAACATGTCCATCAGTATCTAAGAACTCTTAATTCATCAAATTTGCATCTACCCAAAGATGCTAACAAGCATTCAGCCACAGTAACGGTAAACAATACTTCACATTCTGGATACTCAACGCTCAGAGACCCCACTTCCAGATCTCTGAGAAATAGGAGAGACCTAGGGGTTCTGTCTTCTCCACCCAGCTTTGATGAGGCTCTGGAGAGGCTGGTCAAGTACAAATCTACCAACAATGACCCCCAACGCCCCCTAAAAAAACCACCGCCACAGAAACAAAAAAAAAGTCAACCTGTAAAATCTGCACCTACATTTGTAGGGACCAAATGCCAGGCACCCATCCACTACAGCAGGCGGCCTCATTTCACCTGCATCCTGAGGTGGGCAAAGGCTGACACAATGGCCCAGGGTCTTAGACACCACTGCTCTGCCCATGCCTTTGACATCATGAAGACCGTCAGGAGGTAGCCCCATCTGGGCACACTGGTCTTTTCTGGCCCTCCACCCATCACAGAGACAGAAGACTGGACCCCCAGGAGCCCACAGGACCTGGCAGTGCTGATTCCTCTCCGCTGTCTGTATCAAAGACAGCAGATGTTCCTCACTGCGCTGCAGCAGACTTCATTCCAATCAGGAAATTTGTGACAAAACAGAAAAGGGTCATCAGCGGATGCAACTCGAGATGAAAGGAAGCTAACACAGCAGAAAGTACACTTCTCTACTCTCATCTGTACCGAGTGGTTTAGAAAATGGTCCCAGGAGGAGGACATGTAATGCACTAAGCCGCAAAGCATCTTCCGTGGGCACTGCACTAAAAGCACAGCATGGGGAAGTCTTGGCATAATCTCCTCCAGCACAGCTGGTGAACTGGGGAGACTGGTACCCAAGCAATTTCAGGACAACACCATAGAAGTCTGGGGTTCTCGGGCCGACATGTTGTAACAATGCAGTCATTCCTCCCAGAGATGATGGGCAGCAGGAGCAATGTTTACACTAACAATGACCCCCAACCCTGAGAGCCGCACTGAGAATTATAGCCACACTTAACATAGGTGGATGAACACTCGGACCCGGACACTTTAAAGGCATCAACGTGCAACCCACGCCTGTGATTAACTCACTGCTGCTCCTCTGCTGAGAGGGGCCTCACAGAGCAGTATTTAAACTAATTTTCAAAACAGAAGAGGGCCAGGCAGTGGTGGTGCACGCCTTTAGTCCCAGCCCTCAGGAGGCGGAGGAGGTAGATCTCTGTAAGTCCAAGGCCAGCCTGGTCTACAGAGCAAGTTCCAGAACAGCCAGGGCTACACAGAGAAACCATAGATAGATAGATAGATAGATAGATAGATAGATAGATAGATAGATAGATAGATAGATAGATAGACAGACAGACAGACAGACAGACAGACAGACAGACAGACAGACAGACAGAGGAGATGAGATATATATAGAGGGAGAGAGGGGCGGAGGGGCGGAGGGGCAGAGGAATATGTTAAAAATCTACACTTAGGCACTCGGGAGGCAGAGGCAGGCGGATCTCTGTGAGTTCGAGACCAGCCTGGACTACCAAGCGAGTTCCAGGACAGCCTCCAAAACAATACAGAGAAACCCTGTCTCGAAAAACCAAAAAAAAAAAAAAAAAAAAAAATCTACACTTAGACTCTGAGTAAAGAAATACCTGCTGGGGGAGAGGAGGAGCTAGGTCCTGCCTTAACTTGGTATACCAGACATGTTGACTCCCAAGGGAGGCCTTACTTACCCCTTGGGAGGAGTGGGGAGGGAGGAAGAACTTGGGCTAGTAAGTAAAATGAAAAATGAATTTTTTAAATTTAAAAAAAGAAATACTTGCTGTCCCCTTTGCCACAGCAATCTTGGTTTTTTTGAGAAGTTTTACATCTCCTGTTGGGAAATCAGGACTGCCACCCCCATCAGCAGTGGCACTGGCACAGAATGGCTGCAACTCCCCAGGGTGCCCTGTTGTCACCCTGTCCAGCTTTTACTCACAGGTTCTTTTCCAAGGAAGGCTGTTCCTACACTGAGGTCCAGGCCGCCAGAGCCAAGACTCCTGCTCTGTGAACAGCCTGAGTCAAACAAAATAAAACATCTTACTTACCAAGCTTCGGTACTGGCTCTGAAGCAATTTTGAAGTCCTACTGTGTGACGACTGGGATCCCAAGGAATCAAAAGACTTTATCCGATGTGAGGAGGGCCGAGCACACACAGAGTCACTTCCTAGTCCGATGTCTGAAAAGACCGAGCACACAGAAAGGACAAGTGCTGAAGACGCCTGACACCGTGTTCCCTCAACACACGCTGGCTCTAAACTGGACCAGCATGGAGGGACACACTCAGGGCCCACAGCAAAGCATTCCATTTACACTTTACACAGCAACAAGAGCAGACTCTCTGCCCCACAAATGAATCATTCACTCCCCAAATACCTCTCCAGGATGATCTGGGGATGACTAACTTATCTGTTCTTCCCTAGTGCGATCCTCAACAGTTTGCGAACCATTTTATCTGTGCTTATAAAAACATTCCCTTCATCTGGGAAAACAGTGTAACTGCTCACGAGGAAGTGCCAGGCTCTTGTCTCCAGCACAGCTCATGCACCCTTCTCTGAGGCCACACCATCAGCAAGGAGGCACAGATGAGCAGTCATACGTCACACACGACTACCTAGCACGTGACAGCACTAAGGATGTGTCACGTGCGACATCAAACACACACAACTGTCGGCAGAGCCTGCACGGCGCACACCACCATGGCACAGCCCACTACTGACCAGACATCACTGTGGGACTCAAGGCCAGAGTGTGGGCACCACCACTGTGAATCCGTCTCATCCTGTAACCCTTCACCATGTGCCAGTGAAGACAGTCACACCCCGTGCTCTGAGCAGCAGACCCTACTCTTACTCTGAAGCCAGGAGCTGGGAAGCCCAGGGCTCAGGCAAAGGGCAGTTTGCAAAGTACAAGCACAGCAAGCACGTGCTAGGGAGTGGCTCGGACCCAGCCTACTGTGTTGAAGGTCCCCAGCACCAGGGACTGCTGCTGCCCCGGCACTCACAACCAGAGTCCCACGTCACCAGCAGTCGAAGGAACAACCGGACATTCAACACCAAAGATGCTTCTTTCTCGAGGCATAATGATCATTTTACCTTGCTGACAGGAAACGAGACATGAACCTGAGGACACTTAATGAGAGTCTTACCTGCTGTCACTTTATTTAGTGTCACCAAGGAGCCGAGGACCTTGTTAAAGTTCTGCCCCTGATATAAGTCATTTGCATCAAAAGTCTGAAAGAAAACGAAACAAGAAAACTAGTACCATATTATATGCTGGCCAAAGACATGAAATTCTCAACAGCATGTGACTGTGCAAGGCCAGCACACTCGGTCTGAAACACTCAAGAGGCAACACAACCTTGAGTGGGCCCTGGGGATAAGAATCCACTGGAATTCCCTTGTGAGGCACCAAGCCCTTGGAGGAGAACCAAACCCAGCTCTGCTCCCTTCTCCACCCAGGTCAGGCAAAAGCCAGGGTGTGAGCCAGGGGCCGCCAGTGAAGGTACTGGGTGAAGGCTCAGGGTGGGCTGAAATCCTCTGTCCTTAGACTGTCCAGAGTCTACAGGACAGGACACGCCAAAGATGGTCTCTCCTACCACATAGGAAGGTAAATTAAATGTACCCCACCCAAGGCAGCAGCACAAGAGGTACACGCAGACGCGGGAAGACACACAAGGCGACAGGAGACAGATGGAACATGAAGCGGGTCCCAGGAGAGAGGCAGGGTAGCGCCCAGGGCAGAGAGCTCTGAAGAACCTGGACTGTAGGCCAGAACCCACTCTGACCCTGAGTCAGTCACACCACGAGACTGAGCCCGGAGAGAAGACACATGAGCTAGCCTGGGTTAAGACAGCTGGAATCCAAATGCAAGAATATGTGAATGTACCACCCACCTAAATCTAGGAAAGAATGTGAGACGGTCACCTGGTTAAACACATCTGCTTTTGTTTGGAGGAGTGTGTGCACATGTCTCTGCTTACAGATGTGCTAAAACACGCACAACTCTTTCCAAACACTCTTTAAGGACTGTGTGTCACTTCTGATCACTAAGTGACCTCTTCAAATAATTTTTATAACCAAATCGTCCAGAATAACAGACAAATCTAACTGGTACAAATTATAGAAAGGAAAGCTAAATGCCAAAAGCTAGATGTCCAAATGCATACCAAATTAACATAGTTTCTTTCCTTGAGGCAAAACAGAACAATCTCTGCTCTGGGATAAACACCTGTGGACTGGCACTAGGACCTCTGCCCTCCTCCTCCTCCTTCTGCAGCCTCCCCGCCAGAGCCAGGAAGTCCCTCCTCCACCCCTTCCTGCCTTCCCCCTTCCCACACCCCACCTCCTTCCTGCAGAGTCTCACTCATCTTACTTCCTGAAACCCTGTCCCAGCCAAGCTGAGCTTCCAGAAATCCCCCAAGTACCAGTGTCCATATGTACACTCCATCCTAGGGTATAAAGTCTAAAGAGGCTGACTACACATCTCCCACAACCCAGCCAGTGTACACTGGACCCGGGCTGAGTGCATTTGTGGGTCACCCATCCAGAGAGTAAGATGTACCTTAAAAAGAGGATGATGGTCAAAACAGTTCAAAAGGGGACGCTGCTGAAAATTCATGAGAATAGCACATTAGCACAAAACCCCAAAAACGACAAAAGCGATTGTCTCCAGCTCCACTGGTCTCAGAAGGTGGCCAGTCTTCCTCTGATCCCTTCCGGCAAATCCCTCAGGACTTTCATGGACTGCAACTTGTCCTGGGTTGTAACACCTGTAGCTTACAGAGCCAGCCCAAAAGGGAACCCTTTCTAGGCTCACCTCCGTGTTACAATTTTTAAGGATCACAATAGTTTAAGTTCCATCTTTTTAAAGAATAAAAAGTATTGTCCTGTCTAGGCCTTAGTTTCCTCATACAAAATGTTCCCTTAATTATAAAATATCTCAATGATGATCTGTCCTCCAGCTCTAAGGTCTAATTCTGAGCCTAGAAAATTCAAGCTATGGTATTCCACAAGAAAAACACAGACAAATGCCCACTAACCTTCATTATGGCGAGGCAGCAAGTCACAAATCCCAGAACAACAGGATGTGAAATACGGGAATGCTTCCTGTTATTCCAAGACTATATAGCTTTCCTACCCAGATACCACAGAGCATGTGACTGGCTGGAGCTGCAGCCAATGGGCTCTGGTGTGACGTCAGGGAGCCTACTGTTACCTTCCTCCCCAGAAAACCCAACAGTGACATCAGACAAGCCAGGAGGCCCATTCTAAAGGTAGTGAGCATTCAGTGGGGTTGCTTTTCCAAGGAACACAACAGACTACTTCCCCAAACAGCAACCTAGCCAGCAAAACAAAAAACAAAAAAAAAAAAAAACAAAGGCCGGCCTTAATTCTGAGACTGTTCACATTAAAGGAACCAGAGAAGAGGCATGGAACCTTCCCTGAACACCTCCCACCTAAGCCAGTCAGTATGACACACAAGACCACTCCCCAGAGCCATGAGGTGTGTAGGTCAGAAGGCACAGCCTGGACTTGCTGCGCTTTGCCGAGAAGGTAACACCACAGGCTGGCAGAGTGGTTGGCCTTCACAGCACACAGAAGCAGGAGGCCACCACACACAGACCAGAGGCACACATGTGCTTCAGAAGCTCTGCCTGCCCCTCCAGGACATTCCTTTATCCAGGCACAGAAGCCTGTGATCCTGCTGGCCACATTCCCAGATAAGTCAGTTCCGATCTTCAAAGACTCTGCAATCTGGCCTAGGTGCCATCTCCCGCCACAACATCTTCTCCGTCTCTGAAAGTGCTCTAGTTACACACAGTCCCTCTTTTATGGCTATTTGTAATAGCCACACACAATGCCAGCTTAGCTCTTGTAGGAATGCCTGAACTGAGAAGAACCTGGTACTCACTGTTCACACAGTATCTGTCTGGCCAATGACACCATCAAGGTGACCTGTGAGCAGGTGTGAATGTGGAGTAAGGTGACACCATCAAGGTGACCTATGAGCAGGTGTGGACGTGCCTGGTCACCTGTGGGGTAAGCTGACACCATCAAGGTGACCTGTGAGCAGGTGTAGCTTTGCCTGGTCCCCTGTGGAGTAAGGTGACATCATCAAGGTGACCTATGAGCAGGTGTGGACGTGCCTGGTCACCTGTGGGGTAAGGTGACATCATCAAGGTGACCTATGAGCAGGTGTAGATTTGCCTGGTCCCCTGTGGAGTAAGGTGACACCATCAAGGTGACCTATGAGCAGGTGTGGACGTGCCTGGTCACCTGTGGGGTAAGCTGACACCATCAAGGTGACCTATGAGCAGGTGTGGACGTGCCTGGTCACCTGTGGGGTAAGGTGACACCATCAAGGTGACCTGTGAGCAGGTGTAGCTTTGCCTGGTCCCCTGTGGAGTAAGGTGACATCATCAAGGTGACCTGTGAGTAGGTGTGAACATGCCTGGTCACCTGTGGGAAGCTGAACCATCAAGGTGACCTGTGAGGAGGTGTGAATGTGCCTGCTCACCCGTGTCCCCAAATGTAGTACTTCTGACCAAACTGTAACACTGTCTCATTCAAGAACAGTAGAACAAATAGGAACCTACAGAGCAGGGCTGTTAGAAGTTATCTGGCCAGAACTGTTCTGTCAGGACACAGTGGTCTGACCTTTATTTCTCCAACCCAGGCTTACTGCGGCTAGACTTTTTCTCACTGTAGTTGGGGGGGGGGGGGCGGTGCATCCCACAGGCTTACTGAGGTTAAGCTCCAGGAGCCTTGGGGAGTGTCAGCAAGTCTCCAACCAGGCCCAAGTGGGGCTGCTGCCAAGAGTGACACCTACCCAGGGCTGGCAGAACTGGTCAGGGGTAGGAGAGCAATGAATGCATCAGCAAGGGGCCATCTTCCCTACAAACACAGCCAGGACTTTCAAAGCACTGGCCACACAGGTCAGGGGCACTTTAGCAGCGCCTCCTCCTCCTCCTCTCACAGCGCTGACTCTCAGCAAGCACTGCCACACTGCCTAAAAAGCACACTCTTCCACCCAAATCCAAAGCACTCACTGCAAACTGTTGACAGCTAAGGCTTCTCAGGAGGCAGGGAGGCAGGGGAGAGAGAGGAGAGAGGTGCAAATGTATGCAAATTGTTTGTGAGGGAGTTCATTCCCAAAGGGCCTCACTGTGCCCTCAGTAGGTGACAGACAACCAACCCAGGCAGACTCTATACTCTGGCTTGTGCCATGCCTCTACACTAGGTCACCTCTGGGCACCTGAGTGACCACACGTTTCTGCACTATTCTCTAACTCAGTAGCTTGAAGAGCAAACATCTACAGTTCTAATCCATGTTCAGACGCAGCTTGCTGCATGAAGGCTGGTGGGAAGCCATCAAGGCGCTGGCTGCGGCTGCAGGCATCTGGGGGCCTGAAGGTCTCGATGGCCTGGAAACCCTGGTAACAAGAAAACACCACTGCAAGGCTGTCCGAAGGAGACCTGGATTCCTGGTGTCCTCACTGCAAGGATAAAGCTCCCTAATGCAAGCCAAAGGAAGCCAGGGCCTACAATTTCAGGAATGGCACGGCCTACTCTTGGTAGCCATGTACTTACTGGGAGTTAACAGTGCAGCCCACAGCAGCAGGCAGGAGAGTACCTTCTTCAAGGACAACACTGCCTCAAGACTGACTACAAGACACAAGCCAAGCCAGTGGCCACGGAGAAGAGAGAGCCATGCAAGGAGCAAACAACCTAGACAGCATATAACTTAAACTCAGAAGACTGGGCACGACACATGAGCAGAGCCCATCCAGACTCGACTCTTGCTAATACCTGAGTTCCACCAACTGCTCTCACACCCCGTGCCCAACTGTCTTCTCAGAATCAGAGCAGCTTGGCCACACAAGCACAAACATCTCTGGCCACCGTAACTGACATGACCCACCTTGCAATACTGACCTAAAAGCAAAACAGAGTGACTCATATGTACATGACATCCCCAGGTGGCTCCACCCAGAAAGCACCTGAGAAAGGTGTGTCTCCTCCCCATCTCAGTAGGAATGAAACACTATTGCAGCAGACTGACCCCAGGCTTCAGCTCCCCAACATCTGGACATCAGTTCCACTACAAAGGGTTTGTGAGGAAGTTCTATTTCACAAACACACGTGCACACCGGAACACACAAAATCATGACTTTTGGCAGATATTTCTGGAGTGCTGCTCGCAACGTTTAAAAACAGATTTTTGTCTTATC